CCATTTTCAATGCAAAACCGTTTAAAGACAGATGACATGAACTGGGTGCCGTTGTCAGTCACTAAGATCTCGGGAACCCCAAAACAAGCGAACAAACTTGCCAATTTTCTTATAGTACTCTCTGACGTCATTTTCGGCATGTTGTATACTTCCGGCCATTTCGTGAAGGCGTCGACAACAACCAAGTAATTTCTGCCTTGTATTGGGCCTGCAAAATCAGCATGTATTCTTTGCCAGGGACCGTCTGGTTTGGGCCATGGTTTCGGTTCAGCTTTATTTGGGTTCTTTGCGGCCTCTAAACAGGACGAACAACTGCAACATTTTTGCTCTATATCATGGTCCATTGATGACCTGTATGCGTAGCTTCGAGCTAACGACTTCATTTTACTTATCCCCGGGTGTCCACTGTGGAACTGCTTAAGGACTTGGTTTCGAAGATTTCTGGGGATAACGATACGGTGGCCAAACATGATGCAGGAATCTACAACTGTCAATGAGTCTCGTCGACGGAAAAATTGCAAGAGTTCTCCATGTAGTCTAGACGAAGGCCACTTGTTGAGTATGCAGCGGCTAACAAACTTCAACATGTCTTTCTCACTAGCTCGTTTAATAGCTTCGAATGTGACTGGAAGTCCGGACACTGCGTCTGCTAATACTGTGTGAACCTCGGCCTCAACATCTACGGCAGCCACGAGCACCTCCTCTTCTTGTTTTGTACGGGAACTAATTAGTCTTGAAAGGGCATCTGCCTGTCCAAAAATCCGTTGTTGGTTGGTACTTTATCTTGAAATCATAGCTCAGCAGTGTAGTTGCCCATCTCTGTAGACGGTTTGCTGTATTTACAGGTATACATTTTTTCGATCCAAAAATTGTCAGCAGTGGTTTATGGTCTGTTAGTAAGGTAAATTGTCTGCCAAATAGCATCTTGTGAAACTTCTTTACAGCGAATATAATGGAGAGGGCCTCTTTTTCTATCTGACTATAGTTTCTTTCTGTCATAGTCAGCGACCGTGCAGCGTGGGCGATTGCCTTCTCAGACCCGTCTGGGTAGGTATGTGGGATCACTGCGCCGATTCCGTAGTTGGACGCGTCTGCTGCGACTATAATGGGAAGATCTGGATCATAGTGTGTGAGTAGAAGGTTTGATGACAGGAGCTGTTTTAGTTTTACTAAAGCTTCTTGGCACTCAGATGACCAGAACCATTTGGTATCTTTTTTCAGCAACCCATTAAGAGGAGCACGAAGGCGATGCAGTTCTGGAAGAAAAACTCCATAATGACTAACCATTCTCAAGAAAAAGCGTAAAGTTGACACATCAGTTGGTAGAGGCATGGACTTGATAGCCTCGACGTTTTCAGGATCAGGTTTTCTTCCGTTTTTATCAATTATGAATCCCAAATAGCGGACTTGTTCCATGTGGAAATCACATTTTTCAGCACGTAATGTGAACCCAAAATCTGCTATGCGTCTGAGAACCATATCTACCTTCTTCTCTAGGTCAGCACAGTCTGCACCCACGATTAGTATGTCGTCAAGATAGGCCGCAGTACCAGGAATATCTTGTACTATAATATCCATAACTTGTTGAAAGATTGAATGGGCAGTCTTTACTCCAAACGGAAGTCTATTATATCGAAACAACCCTTTATGAGTGTTTATTGTCAAGTAATGTTTGCACTCTTCCGCTACTGGAATCTGTAAATATGCTTCTGATAAGTCTAGTTTTGCAAAATACTTACCCCCGTTAAGTTTCGCAAATAAGTCTTCTGGTAATGGTAAGGGGTACTGATGAGCTTCAAGTGCGTCATTTAATCCAGTGGAATAGTCTGCACATAATCGAATACTTCCATTGGGCTTTTTAACAATTAATATTGGAGCTGTCCAATCAGAAAAGTTCACTGGTTCTATAATTCCACTTTTTTCCAGTCGTTCTAATTCTTGTTCAACAATTGGTAGCGCTGCGTAGGGCACAGGTCTTTTGGGTCGAAAAACGAGAGTAGCACAAGGTTTGAGGGTTAACAAGGCTTTGGCCTTCGTACATTCTCCCAATTCTTCTTAAAAAACGTTGTGATGTCTTTGCAGCACGGTACTTTTCTGGTTACACCTTGAGGAGTTGTCAGTAATCACTCGTCTGCAGATGCTATTAATAGAATGATCTGCTAGCTTAAGTGTTTCTATTAGATCTAGTCCCAATAATTCTAGTCCTGGGTTCTTCGTAATGTAAATGGTTGCATTTGTGGTAACCGCACCTTTAGACACAATGCAAGGTATTTCTCCAACAATATTTAACTTTCCGCCAGATGCACTGTGTGCTAGTTGTGTTGTTCGATGCACTGTTGGTCGCCCAATCTTCCTCCAAGTTTCTGGGCTTATTAAAGTAATATCAGAAGCTGTATCAAGCTGAAGTCGAGTACGGCGTTTATTAACATTCAAGGTTACGTACTTTCTTTGGCGGCAACTTCGTGATATATTATGTGATACCAATACTCTTTTCGTTATTGCGCCAGACCTGTATTTCTTGAAGTAAGGTTTTGCAAAATGTCGTTTCTGGATTCTTCTTCTGCAGTTTGTTTCTTTATGCCCCTTTCGATGACATTTACTGCAACGATGTTCTTTAAATGGGCAAAACCTCTGATAGTGCCAACCTCCACATGACCAGCATGGAGATGGGGGCTGGTTGTCTGTGAGCGACACATTTCTTGGGCAGAATTCTTTCTTTTCGCTTACAGCATGAACATGTGGCAAACGGTTATTATTTTCGACCATTTAAGTATCGTGTTTCAAGTTTACCAGTCTTTGGCACTCTGTAGTAACTTCTTGTAGTGTTATGTTTGGACACTGTTCAATTTTACTCAAAATTCTGGTTCTGATATCAGCATCTTCGGAAGATTGAAGGCTACACACGAATACGAGACATTTAAACTGATCTTCTGTCATAGTTGATAATTTGAAGCGTTCACACTCACGATTTACTAAACCCGCATGCTTCACCCAGTCATCATCAGCTGCTTTTGTTATCTTCAGACATTGATAACGAATATTGAATAAGGACGACTGTTCAGCAAAGATTTGTGACAAAATCTCAATGGTTTCATCAAAAGTAAAATCTCTTGGGTTCTTTGGAAGAATGAAATTACTGTAGCGTTCATGTTCAACTGTGCCAAGTTTTCTTAAGAGTATTCTGACCTTGGCGGCGTCATCAAGTTTTCTGAGGTTGACCTTGAATAAATCTTCCTATTTCTTGAACCAGTTATCAAAAGTAATACCAGCCGGACCATCGAAATTAAACTCATGGATAGAATTAATAATATGGTCGACATTAGATTTGGAAGCATCATCTGTAGCACCAGTTTGACTTAGGTTCAATTTCTGCGTTAAAGTCCCTATGATACGAACCTGGAACTGCTCAAATCGTTTCTCTTGACGCTCCAGCAAGGCTTCAAATTGTTCAAAGGTAAATGACATCTTGATAAGCTAACCCCGTCGCCAGTTGTTGTATCTCGAACTTAGAATTCTTAGTCTATCGCACAATACTTGAGCAGTCGAACGCTGGAACCCTCCCAAGTCACAAATCAAAAGACAGAAGACAAGTAGAAGGACTGTTATTCCAGACAGTGTCGAATATGGTACAAAATTGTCAGGTATTTATAGTTTTTAGTAGAAACAAAATCATCATTATAGTTATCCAATCCTCAGACAGGGAGTTATCAGCATTGTCCAATAGGGAAGCTCCACGTGGCAATTCTGGAATATTCTTCCAAAAGCTGATTGGATGGAACATGTTGGGCTCCTTCTGTGCTTCCTAGAGCCTCCTCGACTTCACCTGTGAACCATCCTCACACCTCCCCCCTTTAAAATCTGTTGTATAAGAACTTTTCCTCGGATCCACCTGGAATCGATTTACCGCGATTCTCTTGCGACTCATTACTTTCGACCATCCTAACAGCTTGTGAAACCTGGCTTCTCCGATTTGAGGATGTTAGACGTCTCTCTGTGTTCGATCATCGTTGTCTCCGAAGGATTGCTAACATCCAGTGGCAACACCATGTTAGTAATGCAGAGGTTCGGCATCGTGTGTTCAGGCTCAGAGACGATAATTTAATTGGTATCACCATCTTGAAACACTCACTTCGATGGCTTGGACATGTTCTCCGAATGTCTTCCCAGAGAATTCCACGTCATGCATTACTTGCCGACTCTGGGACTGGTTGGAAAAAACGGAGAGGAGGTCAGTGTATGACATGGTGTCGTGGTATGAAAGTTGCAAAGGGCTAGCTTCTGTTGGTCCTTTACGACCCTCTGAGTGGGTTCCGAGAGATGGTGCAACACAGTGGCTAGAGACGTTATCAGATATGGCTCAGAATAAAAGCCAGTGACGAGCCTGCTGTAACCTTCTTTTACTTTCTTCATAAAGAGTGGTTCTATATATTTAACTGAAAGAGATCTGATTGTAGATTTAAATTTCCCTCATCATTACTGTTATTTTTTTATGTATGCATCTTACCCCTTTTCTCTTCCTATTCTCATTGTTCTGTGTGGCGCATATATATCTGGTGCCCCCTTGCATCAATATTTATGTGTTTAAATAAATAAATAAATAAACACCAGTAATATCAGCTTACAAGACGAACGAATTATTCGCTGTTTTTAAAGTAGATGATCTGCCTAAAATGAACAAGCTTCCAGAAGTGGCCAACAGATATTAGAGACCAGACAGAAAAAACAGCGAAAAAAATGTCACTATTATAGATAGGAAAACAACTTAAACATTGAAATTATAGAGGTTCAATAGGACCATAAGAATTTTGCAGTGGAGAGAAGTCAAGAACTAAAATCTACTGGTCCTGAAAAATGGTTGAATTTAACATTAACTACTGAATAGTATTACACACAAAAATGCAATCAAGAAAGGAATAAAAGGAATACAAAATGTTGATGATCAGCTTGAGTAGATATGCTTAATTGTCTTATTCACCATAATAGTACTTCCTATTATTTAGGACTTTCATGAAAAATCAACTCAAATTCGCTTCGGACCGAATGCTAGTCCATTACCAACTGAAGTAATTCTACATGGTGCATCAGATGTACTACATACAAACCAGTATAAAGTAAGATTGTTGTAATTCACCGGACGCATGCTTTTTAAATAATAATTTTAATATTAACATCAATAGCTTTCTTCCCCCTCCAATCCATCTGCTTGTCTACTTCTTTACATTCAAGAATAAAGTCTGTTTAATTTTGTCATGTATATACACGTTAATCTGTAGTTTGAATTTAGCGACTTTATTTCATCTGTAAGTGTATATACTGGTTATTTTGAAAAAAAAACTAACTTGTTATTACTGAGATTTTAACCTTCAAAGTGATATATATATATATATATATATATATATATATATATATATATATATAAACTAGATTAACTGACCTAATATCGCGGCGTTTGGAATTAACGGAGATGGAGATACATTTGTTTGATTACGTATAATATATCACTCCATAATGAAAAAAATCATGGTGTCCAGCTAGTATGTTTTTTATGGAGTACAAATATTAGAAGTAGTATGACATTTTTGCGATTGGAATAGTGTCCAAACATGATGCAACTAATAATACGTGAAAAGTATTAAATTATTTATATACAACCACGTTAAGATTGTTTAGATATAAAATCACTCAGTGTATTGTACGTTCAAATGTAATGATTTAATATGTATAAAACATGAATTTTGTTGCAGCATTGTAATGAAACATTATTTCCACTTAATTTTTTAGGGCACGGGCTTAATGGTCAGTATATCTATACCTGTTTACAATCGAACTGTAAGTCGATAAAATCTTCATGCTTTTCTTTGGTGTAATTAATTTTGTTTCATCATACTGATAATGCTTACACCAACCGTACATTTAGAAGATGAGATGTCAATTCACTGGTGTATGAAAATAGTGTCAGGATTTCTGAGAGCCACGAAGGTTCTAGATTAAGTCTTAGATTAGATAGTGAGCACATATTGCTGAGGAGTTTTGAACTAGGATAAAAGTGATTTTCAATTAATGTTTCTAAAGCTGATATCAATAGTATAAAGTAATTTGAAACTCAAAACAGTTTTCGTATCATCTTTATGACTGAAACCTCATAAAATACGTAAAGTAATTTCTATTCTTTGAGCGCTGTATAGGTGTCTGGGAACGGTTATTATTTTTCTTGTATTGTATTAGGGTAGCTAGATTGCTTAACTGTGAAGCTCTGACTGTCATCTCTACCTCCTACTTCGCGTTGAAGTCACATGTTATCACTGATAACAGTACAAACCGACAGCCACGGACTGGTAATGACCAGTTCAACTTCATGGGTTACTGCGTTCCATAACATTTTGGAAGATCCTTCTTCAATGTATCTGAAAAAATATATTAATTGTTTGGTGAAAGACATTAAAAAATGATTAAAGTTGGATATTGTAGACCACTGAACTGTAAATCTGTATGTAAAACGCATCTTTGATTTGTTATATGATTTTTTCGATACTTCCATCTCTAAACTGTACAAATCTTCACAGATCACTTAATTAAAACATTTATTTATCTGAGTCATGTTTGTAATTAAGAAGTATGCTTTTTTCAAAAAAAAAAACATCCAATTTCAGGAAAAGTTACAATTTTTGGGCCTTATGGGTACAGAACTACCAATTGAATTAATGATGAATGGATTACCTCAATCAAAAGTAACTTCCTTTTTCTTTTTTACTTTGTATTCATACATAAGTGCATATTGATATTTTAAGATTGTCATCTGTAAACCAGGAATTACATCATTTGTACAGATTTATAATGTTAAATAGTTGGGAGGAAGTAGTCAGCAGGTTTTTTTGAAATATTTGTTTGTCAACTTATGTTAAGTGTTTTTGCAAGAGAAATCCCAGTTTTTGTATAATTAGGACGATAATTATAAAACTGATTAGTCACTGAACAGTGATCAATTTCATACTATTTATTTATTTATTATTAGTGGCTTTATTCAATATTATATTTTTAGTACAATATGGAATTCTCAGCACAAAGTATTTCAACAAGTTTCTCTTTCTTATCTCTTGATTGATCCTTGCAACAAATATTGAGTGGTCACCAGTTAGATGTTAGCAGTTCAGGAATCGACATATGAATAATGTATATTCATTTCGATGCATATTGATAGCAACTACGATGTCTCTGATTGGGCAGATTTGTAACTTGTACAGTGAAATGTCATAAACTTTTTAACTAACGCACTTGAATAGGTTAGGAGACTAATAAGAACAATGATGTGTTAAAACAAACACGAAAATAAATAACTTGTTGGAATATCTAGATGGTAGGAACAAGTAGCCCAGATATTCAAGCAGACCCATTTCTGGTACTGATAAAATTCTATCAATCTAGTTTCGATGTGATCACTAGTCTAAGTAAATTAACATTGCAAGAACTATGTTAGGTGGTTAAAATCAACCGATAGGAAACCTTTCTCGAATTGGGTTTCACCCTAGTTAGCGCGTATCGGCAACGTGTACCTAAAATCATAGGTAAACTAATATTTCTTATTGGAATTCTAACCCGTCTCAATCATCTTTGTAGTCTGATATAATGCTTTGGATGATATACAAGAAGTAGCGTTTGACATTACACATCCATAAATGCATAAAAAGTATAGTACCAATTTTCAGATAGTTGCTGGCAGTGTAATATATGCTATTTGTGACATTATTTGAATTGACTTACATATTAGTATTAGTGTTTTGATGAGACTCAAGTCAAGTATCTGTCAGTTCTAACGTCAAAACTTATTTCACTGGAATTTTACGATACTCTATCCTAAAAAACTATGATAAACTCGTAATCATAAACAGATTCTTATTAGTAGTCCATATTTCAATAGAGGTTGATCAAACTTATTCTTAAATGTCAACAGCTAAAAAAATGGTCTCGTATGAATAACAGTAATAATAGTCACATAAAGATTCACCTGAAACCATATTCATTCTTGTTAAGGACAAAATAACAAAAACCTACCATTAAATTTAATCAAATGTGTATGCACTGATTAAGAAATAATAAAAAAACAGTTACATAACATAGATGTTGTAAATTGTTGTAAATTTTGAACGAATCTATAATTTATCATTGTTGAAAGCGTGAGTCAATTGAAGCTAGACCACCATGGAAAACCTGGAAACACTGGACGGCCGTTTCGTCCTATTATGGAACTCCTCAGCAGTGCGCATCCACAAACCTGCTCTCGCGAGCGGGATTCGAACCCAGGACCTACCAGTCTCGAGCCGAAGCCCTTAACCGATAGACCACTGAGCTGGCATCCAACGGTGTTAATGTCTAACTTCAACTGATCCACGAAACGGCCGTCCAGTGTTTCCACGTTTTCCATGGTGATCTAGCTTCAATTGACTCACGCTTTCAACAATGATAAATACTAAATCTCCACAAAACCCCTTCTATAATTAATAGAATCTATAATTAACTATCGTTTCTTGTTAAAATTATTGGATTAGATGAAATGATGAATATAAAATATGGATTACGATCACCTTTTCACCTTTTTTGTAGCTATGGTGTTACTCCTTATACTTGAAAACGGGAAATCACTGTGGTTCCCATGGTGGATGTACGGATAAAAGATTGATGGACTGATCTACTTTTCAAAAACAACATGTTCCCAAAACAAGTCATCTTTAGACCGAAATACTCTCATTTATGTACTTATTTTTACATACAGTAATGTAGTATATAGGGAAAGTTCATTGAGTTATTGAAAAAACACTGAACATAAGCAAAGATAGATAGTGGCTAGCAGTGGAATCCAGGACGCGCGTTTTGTCCTGTTTGGGACTCGCCAACTGGATTTACCTGCATCTCAGAGTCGATGTTCACCCTGTGACTCGGACATAGTACCGTTCGCTTCAAACGCCATCGCGTTATCCACTTAGCTACTGACTCCTAATAGTCATTTGCTTATAAAGCTTGTGACTTCAGGCAATATCGAAGCAGTCCGCATAGAATACACGTATGCCAACAAGAGACTGATCAATTGCAGTTCAAAATAACAACAGGAAGATACAAGTGAACACAATGAACATAAATATATTAATATATTTTTAATATCCCAATGAGTAGAAAAATTAGATTTTCTGCCGTTTCGTGGCTCAGTGTAAGCCACTTCTTCAGAGAATAAATAACTAAATTAACATTAACCCAAGTTTAAATAGTACAACGGAACAACACGAATATTAGGTGATCAATCAAAAAGCAGGTCTCAATAAATCAATGTCATGTAATTTCATTTCGGTCATGGTGATTCATAAGCGACATGTTTTTAAATTTTTGTGTGTATGTGTGCACTGTTAATGATTAAAAGAAAAAACTTCCATTCATGTCTACACAGAACTGCGTCTACAAATTAGGTTATGTCGATTGTGATGCCTTCTATATTGGAGAATCATCTCGCGAAATCTTGACTCGCTCCAAAGAACATATTAGGTACACAAAGAAACCTCCTAATAATCCTGTAGAACTGGATAGACTTAAAATTAAATCGGCAATAGCAGTTCACGCCATTTTCAATAACCATCAAATTAATTTCAAAAATATCAAAATACTACAGAAAGGTTTTTCCAATTATAAAGAAAGGAGAGTAGCTGAAGCGTTCCATATAATGCTTAATCCCACTGCTCTCAATAGAAAGGAATGCCTTACCATACATCCTACTTGGACTATCTATCCTAGTTACCTAGTCTGATATTATTTACAATTTCACACCATTACATTACAAATTAAATATAATTTTTCTATTCATTGGGATATTACAAATATATTAATTTATTTATAACAATCTACCCAATGCTCAATTTATCCAAAATTATCAAATCAAAACGTGGTAATGATACCAACAATGAACATAGGTTAAACAAATAGACACCAGCAAATGTAAATGTTAAAATGCACGAAAGCCCGTACCCATTATATTGAACGAAGTTCATACTAAATTGATACAAGTATATTGACATGAAAAAATGACACTTTTCTATGTCAAGTGATTGTTGAGCCGTAGTTCAAATTTTCGCAATCCCCTTCACTTAATATCCTTTGGCACGTAATCGACGGAGTGTTCGGTACGTGGTTAGTCTATTTGTCTGTCTATTAGTCAGTAAGTTGTAGCCTCAAACTTCACTTAACCTATTTTGGTTAAAGCATTCGGGCGGTGGTGGTATCACTAATCCTCACATATACCTTTGAGAGTAACTTAAAGTCAACTATACAATTCTGTATACCTGGTAAATGAGTTGAAGTAGGTTAACATGTTAGTTATGATTGTTTATTTTCGATAGTCTAATAAAATAGTCATTAAAATAATTATTTTCAGCTCTATCCAACTGGCTACGCATTCATTGTTAATACTAACGGTTATTTAGTTTTCCACCCTGGTTTGATTCCTGAAGTAAGTTGTTGATAAAATAAATTATTGCCATAAATTTAATACTTGTGAGTATATAGAGGAATTTGTTTCGCTTAGTTGATTAATAACTGACGGTAGCTGAGGTATACAAAAATCCAGACTAGACAATTATTTCATATTTCTAGTTTAAAATTGTATGATAGAAAACATTACATGAATCCAAACTGTCATGCTTTGCGGCCCTATTCAGCTACGTTAATTACTTCCCTCGACATTCCTAACTCTCTATGCAAATGAGAAAACTGAAATGAGTAAGAAGATAGGATGTATCTTAGTGAACGTTATGTAAAATCCATCAACATATAGTTGCTAAGACGTTTGGAATTGATAAAATGGGAAGCGTAGAATACAGAAACCATAATTCTTAAGTTTTTGTAGTCGAATCAATTGTTATTGATATTTAAAATCGAAGTATTAACTGCGTAAGTCTTCATCCATATTGGTTACACGGTATTCTTCAGCCAATTCCTAGCCATTAACCCTAACTGTAAATCCTAAACCTTTTTTGATGTTATATGCAATAAATTATTCATTTGTACCATCTGAATTCCGATTGGAGAAAATTCGGCTTAACTTCCTTAAGTTTATTTAAGGTATCGCCAAATGCCGTCAGTAAAACATAACTAAAGACAATCAGGAAGCATTGAGAAAACTTATGAAGAGAAACAATTATGCTACTTCGATAAGACAAGGGTACAGGTGAAGTAATCCTGAACAGAGACGGACACATTAGCAAAATAATATCCATTTTAAATGATTCCACGAAATTCATCATCAACAGAGATCAGAAAGATCTGACAGAAGCAACTAAGAAGCGTCTTCTAAAAACAAGTTGAGAAAACTCGTGAAGAACTTGGTTGGTAATCCAATTTACAACAAATTGATGACAAAAGAATCACAATTACCCTACTCGTAAGGCTTACCTCAAATTCACAAACCAAACATCCTTATGAGCCTAATATCATCCATAAACAAATCACCTCTACATAAACTCGCCCGGCTGTTAACATATGATTGTAACCAATGCGCAAAAGCTAGCTCATTTACAGTCTCGTAGTGGATTATTTTGAAAATAATAGCTTAGGTTTTGTATAACAATCGTCCTGATAACCGTTACTAAATAACTCTCAACGGTGTATAAATTTCAAAACATAATACAAAGCGTCGACTATAGTATATTGTTGTACAGTGCAGATCACTAAATCACAAGCAAACAAAGCGAATTCGAGGTGAATTAACAGATGCATAAAAAGTCGAATGAGTTGATAAGATTCAAGCATATGTAAGCGAATGATTCATTGAGCGATTTAAGTGACTAATGCTTAAGCTAGTAAGAGGGATATGTGTTTAGGCTTTAGCGTGATCAACCATACGGACATGATAATAATAATGATACAAAGGTATACAAATTGTACTGTTAGGACGACACTGCCTGTTAAATAAGTTAATTGAAGGGCTTGACAAAATTAGACGTAAACATATCCAAGTATATGTGAGGTGGTATAGTCCGAAGGACAGTTTCGAATTTGTACAACAGCCCGAAATCATATATGCTTGCGATACATTTGTGGTATCCTTCGGCATCTCATCTCTATTCGCAAAGGTTCCTCTAGAAGAAATGGCTGAAATTATATGTCAATATCCTGAACATCATTCAATGAATCCAAAAGGATTGTTGGAACCCCATTCAGCTATTGTATAATTTGTGTGCTCTCTGTAATTTAAACATTTAATCCACTCTGTAAATTTATGTGAGTTTGATTGAGCGCATGTGTCTGCACATCAATCTTTGATCTATTCTCTCATTGGTTGTAAACAAAGACAATCAATAGTTATCCACAACCCATTGACACTCATAAATATATATGGATTTTTAACACTCATTGACACACACACTCACTTGTTTTGCCGGTGTGCTTGCTGTCTGTACGCTTGCGGATTTTACCAAGCTTCAACAATGAACTATCTCTATAACTGGTGTTCAGGCTTTTGAATAATCTCGAGTAATCCCATAATTCTACTAGGAGATTTATCCTGCATTAAATATTCAGTTAGCGGGATGTTATTTATTTATTGGAGTCAGATATAGAGGAATTAATCCTCTATAGCTTCTTGTTCATGTGTACCAAAACTATATAATTTCAGTTCAATAGTGTGTAGTATCGCCAAATTGATGTAGTCGTCATGGTTAGCCCCCATGGCTCAAGTCTGGCTGATATATTTATGGAGAACCTGGAACAGACAAAGCTAAAACATGTGATTGAATGAATTACACTCTTCTGTAAATATAATAATGACACGGCACATTACAAAGACACATCAACTGCAAAAATACATGGAGTGGAATTTATCTAAACTACAACAGCCTCAGTCCAATAAGTTACAAAAAGGGGATTGTACGAACCATTTTTGACCGCACCCGTAAACTTCCCTCAAAGAAAGTCTAGAAGAAGAGCTTGCCGTCAAAACAACTTGCGCACGTGAAATACATGTCCAGTGAAATTTATCGAGGAGTATGACAAAACCAACGTACGTGTTGAATACGCTGCAGTGGGAAAGAAAACCTACTTCTTATATCTGCGCTTCAAAGGAGATGGAATCACTGAAATAATTAACTACAGGACGAATACCACGATGAATGTTGTTTATTCATCAGTAAGACTAACAACGTTATACCAAATGAACTGTTCACTCAAAGAAACAAAAATTGACTGGTTGTCTTTGCTTAGTACCTGCAACTGCATGTACCAAAGCACATACATTGAAAGAATAGAGAGAAGAGTACATGTTCGCATATCCGAGCACACTTCAAAGAATTAGAGACTGAGAGTCACAACGGCTCTAAACAGTTCAATTGCTCGCCGCTTAATTGATATCGGGCATACCATTGACATTCCACAACCCTTCAAAATTATTAGCAAACAACAAAGCTCAGCGTCTCTCCGGTTTGCTGAAGCAGTAACAATAAGGAAACTCAAACCTACTTTATTTCAGTCAGTCAGTCACAATGTAAAACTTCGTACGTACGTACATCAGTTCAAGTTGCCATACCACATTAGCACAGAGATACAGTTGTTGATTCAAATCACATACTGGTAGAGGTAGTAAGAGTATAAGCAGTAATCCGAAAGATTACGGTTCGAAGATGTTATTCAAGAAGTATAATCCGGTGAAATAGATTTGGAAAGAGAAAAAAGATAGAGACATGAAGAACCCAGAAGACTAGAATTTTGGAGAACACAAAGAGTGGATGCAACTGCGCCATTGCAAACGATTTCGAGACATTTCACTCAAGGTCTCTAACCATCAATTGCTATCGTCTCTCAGATCCTAATCACGTAGTCCACACCTACCAACATGGCTCAGTCCACTTGTCAGTGACTTCAAGGACTTGTGCCACGTTTTGCTCAGTCCACTTGTCAGTGACTTCAAGGACTTGTGCCACGTTTTGCTCTGGCTGCCCCTAGCTTTCTTCCAACCTATTCCTACACCATAAAACATCGCACCTGCTTTATGTATCCGAAAGAGACATTAATACACTTATCACTACCTTGGTAGATTCACAGTTCTAACTAATTTCACCTGGAGTTACTTTTTTTGTTATTATTACTTTATGAGTGTCTACTTTGTTATCTTATCTTCGCCAAACTAATTCTTATTTGGCTATTTTTACCTTACACCAAAATCATCCCTGTATTCATCGGCTTTTTCATTCACTTAATTCTCTAAACTTACGTAAACTCTTCAAATCCTGTTTAACTATATTGTGTAACCGATCTTATCAATTTATAATTCTAGACCATTACTACCCTACTGCCCTAAGTCCTCTATATCTGTTTTCGAATGATGTGAATCTTGTGTAAACACTTTACAACTTCTCTAATTATCACACAATCGGTCCTGTTCTGTTTCCGGACTTCGTTTGATTACAGCCTCACCCACTCCACTATGGTTTTGAATTCCATATTCAAATGACTTCACACCTGTTCAGTCATATATATATATATATATATATATATATATATATATATATATATATATATGGTTAGTACTGATAAATTTTATTATTCCAGTTCTTTTCCATCATCAATGTCAATTGTTGCACATTATATTGATGATGCCACCAGTATTGTAGTTTGACAACTATTAACCATTAACACATTCTATAATCGAATCGTCCCCCACTCGGTTAAAATCAGAAGTCAGATGCGAAGGGGTTGGAAATATATGTTTGATGTGTTATCAATATATCGAGAACCGGTTGCTCTAATGTGGCTGGTGAACGTAGGAGATGTTTCCCATGCTAAGCTATAACTTGATCTGGTGCGGATGCATGACCGGACGCCTTCAGTTAAACATGTCCACTAAAACTATTGTCAGCATCCAACGTCTAACACTTAAAAAGCTATTGATTTTGGGGAATTATTTACATCTACAATATCATAGATACCTCAGTATTATACTTTAATCCATATATGGTCATAAGCAGCTGACAAGATGCCACGAAATATAATAGATTCGTAATATTCTGCTTCGATTGATATTTTGTCCTTATTCTAATTAGTAAAGGTAGCCAGTCCAGTGAAATATCCGAATGTTCGCCTCTCTGTTTTTGTTTCCGAATCGCTCAATTACTTAGTGACAGTCAGTTGCAGAAGATGGACATAAATAAATGTTGAGGGATCATGTATACGCACTTCATAGGAGTCCTATTGTAGGATGAAACGGCCGTTCAGGGATTCCAGAATTTACTCACATTATTCGATTCATGATCTCATTAAAAACTTATTAATCTTCACAGCATTATGTTGATAACGAGAATGTTTTTTGAACAGTGCTCGAACATTTGTTGCTTCCCTCATCAAATCTGTAATGCCATACATGATTGTAAATCACGGTCTTCGACATATCAAAAAACCCATAATGTACTGTATAAGGTAGTTTTTTCTGAACTCAAAACATTTTAAAATTATTATACACATAATGTTTTTGTTAAAATGTTATGAGATGAAGGCAAATTAATTACACTCATCCGTACTTCTATCTGTTTCTAATTTGTGTGACTATTTTCGTATTTCTCTTTCCTAAAAACCTTCACACATTTTAGTACCCTTGGTTAGATGATAGTCCGTACTTAGACTTTCTTGATGTTGAATTCAATGTTTATGGATCAAAAACACTGGTAAGCTTAAGTGTTCTCATTAATTTTATGAATTTATTACAATAATGAATAGATCTAATTAAAATGTCAACATTTAGGGCTAGTGACAAGTCGAGCGACAAGTGACACTCAGGCCCGAGGCTTGGTCGATTATACACAATCTTGTGAACTGAGATTTAAAAACCTAATTTCGAGTCACTAAAACTAGTGTCGACAAGGCAATTTGTTTACTAGTATTTAGTCAGCACTAAAATACAAGACAAACATGGTATGGTCTACAGATTAGTGATCAATTATTAAGATGTATATTTCCACCAGATATATTTCATCCTAGATACAGAATAAATGTTTCTAATTGAAAAGAATACAATGGACTGTTATAAACAACTTCATAGATAAATCATAGGCGTTTTTTATGAACCCAGTCAAATCTACCGGATATACTACTCAAACCAAAGTTTAGAATTCATCAGAGATAAGTTATCAAGGTATTCACTTTGAGTGATTCTAACAGTCCATTTGTAATCTCTTTCATAGAATCAACAAAATAGTTGATTGTTCTACTGTTTTGTCACTTTTAAATAATTTGAGTTTTCGTGGTATAAAGACAAAATTATTGAACATTTTTCATCATGTATTTCAGATTAGAAAGAAGTTGATTGATAATGCTAGAGGTTCTGAACAAATTATTGATTTCATCAAAGTGTCAGATAATGTAAGTTTATTGTCACACTTTGAAATGCATACATTTTGTGAATCATTAAGGTTTGATCTAAATTACTACCTGTCATTCTTAGTATCAAGTATTTTCGGGCACCAGGTTTATTTTCTTATGCTTTTTAATATATATATATATATATATATATATATATATATATATATATATATCACTTAACATTCAGGACAAACTAGTACAAAACTGACCAGGTCAATCTAATGGGGAAGATCGAATTTCTACTAACCAATAGCAGAAAGGTTAGTTCATGAATATCAAGTGATATACGAAGACGAAAATTGTACAGTAGACAAATAGTTACTCATGAGTAATACCGTTATAATACACACAAATCACAAAATGGCTTACCTTCAAGTTGACCATATTTATGTGTACTTAATTAAAATAATTGAAAAGCATTACACGTAGATTTCCACTAATCTCTTCTCTGATGCTCAAATAACTGAGATACAAAACTTAAATTTTTTTAATGGGTGAAAGTTCACAGAATAATTTCTACATAGAATGAGTCACCGGATGTACATCACTGTTTTTGCAATATTGAACGAATTGAGTTGATTTGCTTTGCTTTTATTGATTTCACTTTTCAGGTGCATACTTATGTCAAACCAAGGCTGTATTCATTTACAAGACTATCTAATACAGATTTTGGGTAAGGAATGCTTCTTTTCCATCCTTCTTTTTAGTACAATAGGTCAAAAAAATTTCAGCGATGCCATACAATCATCCTATCTTCACTTTTTGTTTGCTATGAATAACACATTTCTAAAAAATCACGTCTTTCACAAAATGTTTAAGGGGTATATTTTTTGTAAAGCAGCTTCACAGTTAATAATCTACAAGAATTGTGCTTCTGTATCCATTCTCAGATCTTACCAATGAGCTTTTAGGACGAGTAGATAAATATAAAGTGTAACTTATTACATGTCTGTTTCAGTTAAAGTTACCAAGTTACATGAAAACAAGAACTTGAAACCATTAACAGAAAAATCATATTGGTATAGCGATAAATAGTATTAGCAGTAGTAGTAGATTTTATATGGACCGTATGGTTCTAGAAGTAGATATGTTTGCGTGGAATAAAGAGTTTTAGACGTTATTAAAACTATGGGTTTATGAAATGTTGGAGAGTGATCGCATTTTGTCAATTGTTATCAATTCTTAACTTGTTGATCGACTGTTGACCTTCTGTTCGAATGAGTTATTCAAAATTGATAGATCACTGATTAGTGAGCAGTCCCATTTTTAAAAAATCCATTAGTTTTATTCGAATCTATCGATTGCGTTTAACTATAATGCGGTGTATACTACTTATATTGATAGATATAAGTAGTATACAACACCAATCAGGAGTGGAATGCATGCCTTCAGAAGATTGAGAAGATTCATTTGAAGAAAACGGAAGAGGAAACAGAAACTAATGATAAAATAACGGAATCAAAATAATCATGAAGCATGTAAAGGACAACTAATGAAAAATGTACAAATTTTGTATTCGATGTATGGTTTTCATATTTTAAAAAGTAACAAGTAATCGTTCATCACATATATTTTTAGCGACTAGCTTTCAAGAGTTAAACGATGTATGTCGATGGTTGTTTGCAGTACATTTTATCACATTCACTAGTACTGATCAAATTGTTAATTAATTTGAATATAGTTTTATAGCTAATTAATGCTAGCCGAACTTCAAACGATCACCAACGTTTCATGACAGTTTCTTAAAATCTAAGCATTTCAACACAATAATTTAAATGTTACATGCTCGGTTCTAGGCTTGATGGTTTTATATTGGATCTTTAACCTCATTACGCTTTTTCATTGTTGAGGAGCCACAAACCAGTGAGAAACATATGTTCAGTCCTTCCTCTAATAATATGAATCTTGCAAGAATCTTTCTTTGTATTGATTCAGTCATTTTATTCTACTTAATTATATATATTTTTAGGTTCATTAGTAGCATAAATTTGCATTTCAGCCTACAGCTTATCACCTTACTACGTTATGCTTCATTAAGTTACTTGAAGTCCTTCAATATGATGTTCACATTGAATGTTATCTTGTCAGAATTTCTTGACATTCGGAAAAACTTATGTAGATAGTTCGACACAGATAATCTTCCACTATCCAACTACTCTTAAAACATAATTCGAACTATGAGAAAAACGAAGTAATCATAACTAGTTTTGTACCTATTATGCCAATTTAATGATAGAAAATGTTATTTTCTCAGTGAATGTTTTTGTCGGACGACAATTTTTCTCTATAAATTGAATCACCGTCATTATTGTTTTTTTTCAGAGTTGCATTTGTTATGCCGACTGATCAACAGTTATTTTTAAGTATTCCAAAATCAATAAAATCTAAAATTACTACAGATGGTTCAGGAAATTACATGATTGACGATGGTACGTCAAAATATATGTATTTATATATTATCAGTATAGGGTTACGGAGATTGTGTTATTTCACTGGATTCACTAACCAATCTAGACTAGACAACTATTAAGAATACGGAAGTTCTAGACAGCCGTTTCTTCCTAGTGTGGGAATCCTTAATAGTTTACATCCGTGATACTCCAACCAGGAACCGAATCGAGGACCTTCAATCTCGTGTGCTAACGCTTGACCACAATTCAATGGTGTATATGGTTGGCTTCAACCAATCCACGACTTTGAAAGACTACATCCTATTGTCTTCGGTTAGTAACTTCTTCACACCCAACATGGTTTCACTTGCACACTATTGGATCTCGGTTCAGTGATGCGGAAGTCGAGCGTTTCCATGCAAGACTGAAAGTCTTGGGTTCAGATCCTGACTGGAAAATCATGGATGTGCACTTCTGAGGATTCCCACACTAGGAAGAAACGGCTGTCTGAAACTTCCATATTTTCAATGGTCATCTAAACTAGGTTGGTTTGTGATTTCAGCAATATATGTAGGCTAATTTCCTTATAATGATTAAAATCTAGCAATTATCTGGTAAAACTGTAGTTTTAGGTTTAAAGTACTGCATTCCAGTCAGGTAATAAAGAGATAATATGGTCATTATAGGACTTGAATAAAGTGCAATGCTGATGGGTTTATATAGAAGTATTGTCTTAGATTGGGCTGGAATGGCTATTGCTTCCTGTTTTTAATGGTTTATTCACTGACGAAACTTACATATTTTCTTACAACTGTTACCCGTCGTGGAGGAGCATAGATCGCCAACCAGCAATCTCTATCCAACTCTGTCCTGGACAATCCTTTCCAGTTGCTATTCATTCTTCTGATGTCTCCTCCCGATTCTCGGCGCAGCGTGTTCTTTAGCCTTCCTCTTTTCCGTTGCCCTTCAGGATTCCAGGTTGGCGCTTGCTTTGTGATGCAGTTTGGTGATTTTTGTAATGTATGTCCTATCCAATTCCAACATCTTTTCATAATTTCCTCTTCAGTCGGAAGCTGGTTTGTCCTTTCCCACAGTAGGCTCTTGCTGATGTTATCCGGTCAATGTATATTGAGTATCTTGCGTAGATAACTGTTTATAAATGCTTTTACTCTATTTAATGATGGTTGTAGTAGTTCTCCAAATTGCAGCTTCATACAATAGAACTGTCTTGATGTTCGTACTGGAGATTCTGACTTTAATATTTGTTGACAGTTGTTTTGAGTTCCATATGTTCTTTAATTGTAAATATGTTATCTGATGACCATCTTGATTTATTCAACCATGATGAAGTGACATCTATAGGAAGGTCTGTGTGTGTTGCTTCGATGGCCGGTGGATTCAGTTGAGTTCGTCTATTCAGGAATTCCCACAAGTATTCCACCCATCTCCTCTGTTCTTGAATCTCAGTGATTGTCTTCCCTTCTTTGTTGTTGACTGGTCTCTCCAGTTTACCATGTCTCCCTGCTAGTTTCTTCGTTGTATTATATTCTTAAAGCTTTTTCTGCCGTCGTTGCTAGTTCTCCCATGTATTTCTGCTTGTCAGCTTTGGTGTTCTTCTTCACTTGCTTGTTTGCTTCTGCGTAATCTGCTTGTGCCTCGACTTTCTCTTCTCTTGTTCGACTTTTTATGACTTTTAAAAAATAGAGACCTTATGCCAATTCGTTATGATTTTATATCCAGCTTTTTATCACGTGAATCCACCAATCGGAATACGACTTATCCAATCTTAGCAATGTGCCAAACCAATAATGTTCGACCGGTATGAACAACCTAGCATCGTTATTTGTCCTCTGTCCGCTTAGCCCAACCAGTTGAGTCCAGAACACCAATTACAGCTTCTGCTATGCGAATCATTTATTTCAAGCATACTCGGTTTATATACCAGACAGACAGACCGCACCACACCATAAAATAGGAAATAATATTTGTATAAGATCAAGTCAAATGTGACTGTGAACGTGGGATATAATAATCAATAAACTGAATATAATTTAGGGACAGTAAATCGTACAATAATGATTCATAGGTCAAAATAAAGCATATAATAAAACGAATATATATATATATATATATATATATATATATATATATATATATAATCATTCAATAGTTAAACAATAAGAATATGTATATAATAATCGTCCATTAACAGGTCTCGGAAGTTACCCGTACTCATGTTTTCGCTAGGATATAACATGACTGTTGTTAATTGCTGTCTTCTTGTTCTTCACTTAATATTGTCCAGAGTTTCCATAGAGATCTATTCCTTATGATGATGCTTCTTGCTAGCCAGAACTTCCTGACACGCTGAAGTTAATGCTTCTTTGATACCTTTCCAGTTCTCTTCCATCGTAGTTTCTTCCTTCAGTAGATCCTGTAAAACATGGAACCTTTTGTTGAGAGTTATCCTGAATTTGTTGAGCTTGTCAGTATTTCGAAGGAAGGCAGTATCGAACCTTTGTAATGCTGTTTGTCCAGTTATCCAGTGTTTGTTAGCTTCAGTCTCATGTTGGCCACAACCAGGTGATGATCTGAAGCTATGTCAGCTCCTCCTCGAGTTCTCACATCTTCCATTGATCTTCGGAATTTTTTGTTGATACAGATGTGATCTATCTGGTTCTATGTGGTGTGGTGCGGCGAAATCCATGCAGCTTTATGTATGCGTTTGTGTGAGAATATTGTGCTGCCTATAACTAGTTTGTTGAATGCACATATACTTGCAAATCTCTCTCATTTTCGTTTCTCTCTCCCAGTCCATGCCGTCCCACTATATCTCCATATAACGTGTTGTACACTCCGACGTTGGTGTTTAGATCTCCCATCAGGATGGTGGGATCCTTTCTTGGGCATTTCGCTATGAATGATTGCAGTCTCGCTTAGAACTTATCTTTATCATCGTCATTGCTATCATTGGTGGGTGCATAACATTGAATAACATTCATTGCGATCCCCTCCTTCTTTTTTTTGAATGGTGCTATGACTATCCTGGATCCATGAGATATCCATCCTACAAGTGCATTTCGTGCTTCTCTGGACGTCATCGGAGCAATTCCCTGAGTGTAAGGAGCACTTTCCCCTTTGTAACGGGAGTACAACAGCATCTCTTCCGCATCTAGCCTTTTCTGTCCAGCTTGGATCCAATGGGCTTCATTGATCCTGAGTACTGTCGATTTGTATCTCTTCATTTCCATTGCTATTTGACTGATCCTCCCTGTCTCCCACAATGTCCGGACGTTCCATGTATCAATAAATAATGTTGCTCTGGTTTCTAGAAGGGGCATCGACCTCGTGACTTCAAAAGAATCTCGGTTTTCTTCCTGATGCATCATAATTATTCCTTCAACTCCCAGGGCAGAGTTTAGATGGTTTAATTAGTTGGTGTTTTTTAGCCAAATTGTTTTCTGCGTGATGTGGTTGCCGACCCTATCCCCAAACCTCCTCGTTTACACGGGCTTTGGACTGGCAGTAACTCTAGAAGAGCTACTGACGTGGTTAGCTGACGAAAGCCATATCGCACTTAAGTTGATCTCCATATTTAACCAAATAAACACTATATCTAATTCAATAAATGTGTACAATCCACTTACCTTTAAAAATTCGGCTATAAATTGAACCCAGCTATTAAGTGCATAATCAAAATCTATGCTTGTTCGGTTGATGAATAAAGAACAGTGTAAGTATACTTTGAACTATTTTTGGAATAAAAGAAGGATGAGATGAAATTCTCACGATTACTCATTTCACGAACTTAGAACCTTTATGGTGCTCATAGAGTATTTTATGCAAAGTTATAAAAATAGCTGACAATATAAGATTATCTACATAGTTTACATCATGAATCGACTTCAGTTAAATAATCATTGGAAACTAGGAGATATTTGAAAGTTGTTAATTCCGAGTAAGGAGTTCAGCAGTGCGCACTTACGATCTCACTGGCGGACGGGACTCAGGATCTTAAGCTCTCAATGTGAGCACCTAGACTTTAGACCAGTGAGTCGTAACCCAACGATTTACATGTTGAAATTCGATCGACTTGCGGTATTACGCAATTACCTGGTGCCATTAATGAGTAACTCTCATACCCGGTATAGTTAAATTCCAATAACCTTTACAAGCTCTCGTGAGTAAAGATAACGAATTATTTGGTAGACTTAGCATTCATTACTACTGAAATTTTAATACATTAGAATTGTAATTGATTCGATGGATGAAAAGATCTCTTATGTTTATGTCCTCAATATAAATACTCTGTTATGTCTTTTAGTGATTTAATTTTCGGTAATATCCCACTTAACAAATTTTCAAGTCATTATTTTTTACTGAAAGTCGTTTGGTGACAACTGATTCATCTAAATTTTCCGTAGTGGAAAACATACGTAATGTTGAGGGATTATAAATTCTGAATTTTCGAATTATTTTTCATCTACTTCTGTCATATTGAAGTTGACTTTTGAATCATTTACATGAAACAGTGTTTGTATGAGATAATTAAATAATATTTTGAAAAGTAGTTTATAATTTGACTACTTTGAACTAAACATTGTGTTATGGTACATAAGCAATTCTTCATTATTTCCTTCATTATTAAATCTCTTTCAACACGTACCTGATGTGTACTGGATTCATGACAAAACTTATCATACTCTGATTAATGCAGATTACATTCTTTTGTTTTATCATATTGTACTTCAAAACTACAAGATGAAAGCAGTGTACAATGACCAGTGTGGTGTACTGGACAGTTACTTTACTCTAGTTGGAGACTTTACGGAAATGCACCATGGACATTTAAAATAAACATTAATAGTTTAAGGGGAACCAATCAGGTTTAAGATAGTGGCTCATGGATTTTCGCGTGGCAATTCAAAACCCGACGACATATGGCTTTTATCTAATAAAAAGCTAAGAGAGAAATACGTAAAGCCTATCGATATTTAGTTAATAAGAGGCTTAATAGTGATGAACATGGCAATGTTAAAGGGTATGGATGAACTTCAGCAACTCTTTAAATCATGATAAAATAATGATGAGAAAAATTGAATTAAAATATGTAAAATATTTAAACATGATTTAAAAGGTTCTCAAGGTTACTTATATATTCTTGAGATCATAAATACAGGACTTACTTGCAAAACTGTTTCTTAATACGACTGCGAAGTGTTCTCACACTGTGATCCTAGCTTTTAACTCAAAAATCCTAAACTATACTCACAATCCTAAACCCGAAATTTTCAGGAACCATAGATAAATTATTTATTCATATCACTTGCATCCATCCTCATGACTGATTGATTGAGATTGTCTTAAAGCTGACCTGACTTCCTCAAATTCATTTTGAAAGTCACTGTTTTTCTTCAGTAAATGTTTCCATAAAACTATCCAACATAATTTAGTTTTTTTTTCGACTGATTCCATTCCTTCGTTCCGTTTACATGCATGCACATCCATTAATTTGCTTTAGTATTTTTCTGTTGATTTTCAGTTCTCATCAAAAATTTAATAAAGAAAGCGAAAATTATTTTACCATGGAAGGCATTAGATGTGTACATGAAAATAAATGATCATGTGTTTAATTTGGAAACACCTAATGAACATGTGGTACTTCATAGAGACGAAGATGATCAAATAAACGTGAAGGCAACATTAATGAACGAGAAGGAGGAAGAATATGAAATAACAAACAAAAAAGAAACTGTAATGGAAGACAAAGAGGAACGACAACAATTCACAGCGTCAACATCATTGAATGATGAGTTTATTTCAATGGAAAATGAACTTCTCTCATCACATTTAAATGATACATTTTGTGTAAATAATACAAATTGTTTAATACGGGAATCATTTCTGAGGAAACTTATCATTCGAAGTACACCATCGTCCAGTAAAGTTAATGATGAATCTGAAAATACTCCAGATATTAAAAATTTTAATGGTTATTCTTCAATAATACTCACTGATCAGATAAAAGAAACAACAAGAGTGCTACAATCCAGTGAATCAATCACACCACCATCATCACCCAGATCTGAGACATCAGTTGGTGTTAGTGATATTCTTATAGATAAGAATAGATCATCAATACAAACACCGGTAGAAAATACAAGACCTATGGATAAAAAACCTATAACAACTGAAGTAAATATGTCAGCCGGTTTTGAAAGTACTACTATTGCTACCACTGCTACTACTTCAGCCACTTCAGTATTATTAACAAGTCCTAATGATACAACTAGTCAATCTACATTAGACATGACAAAAAATGAAGTGGATGTAAACAATGATGGTGTGGGATCGGATCGACTCATCACCGAACAAAATAATGAAATAAGAAATTTCCTTGAAAAAATACGGAATATTAATTCTAGTAAGTAATTATGTTTTAGGTTATAATAAAATAATAATCATAACAATAATCTATAGATAGTATTCATCACAGAGTCCAGATGCCTAAGTAGATGACGTGACAACGTTTGAAGCGAACGGTACTGTTTTTGAGTCCTGGCAAGAACGTCAACTCTGGGATGCAGGTATATCCAGCTACCTAGTCTCAAATAAGAATAAATGTTTGTCTTAGATTCCACTGCTATGCACCATCCATCTCTGCTTCTTGTCCGTAAAATATTTTTTGAACTTACCACTTCTTCAAGCATTCATTCTGATATAACCCTATGGGTATATTGTAAGTGGAAATTCTGCTCCGTATACTTTGATTTGAACAGTTGGTATATTACAGGGGGAAAAGATCATATGCATATGCCAATTGCGGTTAAATGACGTAAGTGATTATGGTTGTGATGTGTGGGCGAGAATGACAGTGATTGGTTGTCTTGATGAGTCAGACATTAGATAGTATGACAGGTGTTATGTGTTATATATATTTCCCTATCTTTATTATATATTGACTGTTCCTTGTTGATGGACACTTATTGATTGACTGTTCTTTGTGTCGGGTTTGGTGTGGAAATATATTGACGTTGTAGTCAGGCTAATCTCGTGTTCTTGATCTGAGTTGTGTTGAAGTCCTGTAGAATAGACACTGGGTGGGAATCTAGTGTACATATTCGTCTAGGTAAATTAACGTCCCACATACGTGTAGAAAGTGAAAGGACTGTTATAACAGAAACCGCCTAGAGTTATAACAAGCATCCTCTACGTTTATAACAGGTTGAGTGATAACTTACTCACAAGCCTGAATTCATAGTCAGATGCCGTCAATGACCGCAAATCAGAAGACAGAATAAATGATACCAAAAGTCTAAGGCATTTTCTGAAACAAAATGACCTGTATATGTACAGAATATTTGACAAAAAATAAACATGATTTAAGATGTAAATGATTATCAGAAGGGGGCTTTGTGGAGATTTTAGTAATTTTATGATTGAATTCATGAGTCAGTTGAAGCTAGACCACCATGGAAAACCTGGAAGCACTTGACAGCCGTTTTGTTCTAGTGTGGGACTCATCAGTAGTGCGAATCCACGACCTCACCCCTCGAAATTCGAACCCAGAACCAATCGGTCTCGCCCGCGAACGCTTAAGTGGTAGGTCCCGGGTTCGAATCTCGAGGGGCGGGATAGTGAATGTGCAATGGTGATGAGTCCCACACTAGAGCGAAACGGCTGTCCAGTGCTTCCAAGTTTTCCATGGTGGTCTAGTTTCAATTGACTCTTGAATCCAACTATAAAATATAAATGGTTGTTGAATTTCGAATCTGTGGATCACTTACCAACGTATGGAATTTAGACCTTTAAAGCTTACTTATCATCCTCTCATATCACTCAGTTGTGCACTAGCTACAACTCAGAGGAGCATTCGCATAAAAGAAGTTAGCGACTTAAAACTGAGCATTTTAATTAATATTTAGTTATTAAGCAATTAAGTTAAAAATAGTATGCTGATATGTTGTAAGTAAAAGAAAAGTTTTGAATTATTGTTACAAAAATGATACTGTAATTCTTAAACCAAGAACTTTTGGAATTGGTTTTACGACAGAATGGAATCATTAGTTTCGTAAAAAATGTTTTAGAACAATAAATGAAAAAATCCGTAATCCATTAGTCTGCAACCAATTTAGTCCTTACTATTAAAAGTAATCTATATGATGGCATACATTACTTTAATACAGCTTCATTAGTTCGGATTTCCGGGACACCATCACGGATCCGAGTACGTAACTACGGGTTTTTTGTTTCAGAGGTTATAATATTACTCATAGGCTTCCAGAACCGCGATAGGTAAAATAAATTACAAATATGCAACTCATAGGTTGAAAATCAAGTACAGGCCACTAAACTATCTCATGTTGGCCCAAAAACCATTAACAAATGCGTAGTTAGCGTGCACTTCCTGTAAACTTACGACATATCAACTACAGGTCAGCGTTTCAGTAAATTATTGAGCTGAATGTATTTGGTGTTCTCAGATAACCTCCTAACTCAAGGGACCATTCTAGAGTTAGGAAGTATGAAACTTGGAACAAGAACGAAAATAACAGTCAAACAACATTGAGTTATTTGATATCATAATCTAGATAATTGTTCTTATGCTAAAAGGCTTCAGTATATATATTTCTTGGTAGTCAATAAACAACATACGACATCTGATTGAATAATTTATTAATAATATACGGAACCAATTGAAGGTTATTCAGTTTAGTCAACCACATACACTTTACCATTCAATTTAATGTTTATTAAATATCAACTAGTATTCAGGTCATTTAAGTTATGGTTGGTCAGTGAGATTTTATTTTATTAGCTCATAGCTATCCCAATGACCTTGGATAGAATTAGTGGGTGACTCGTATAACTGATTATTTCTATCTTATGACCTTTACTTGCAGTCTGTAGACTATACTTGTTGTCGTTGCTTGCGAGATGGAAACAATACATTGACCGTTCTCAATATTGCTTTTAGATCAACATTCTAACATTTCAACACAATAACGCTGAAATGGTGTTACCTATCTGTATAGGTCTTAGGTTATTCATAAAGTTTTAAAAATTGATTAAGTGTGTCTTACCCTGAACTTTAGTTGTCATTTAGTTTTCTGAGCTGAATGGTTTAATCGTGGAGCTTTCACAGTTCTTTTGAACAACATTATCAGCACAAACTTTAGGGACTTTCAGTCACTTTTTCTCTTATTTGGTGGAAGAGGGTCGCAAATTAAAGTTCAGTATTCCCTGAAGACTTTTTCTCAATCTTTATTTTCTATTATATTTGTGCTTTATATTCAGCGTATCGGCTGAAAATCTTCACAGCAGACAGTCAAAGATAACAATAGTCACTTGCAGCTAAAACTTTAATGAAAACAATTCTTTGAAATGCAACATTCTTCTACTGACTGAACTGTAAAATGATCTAAATTATTCGGTAGAACATATATAATGAACGTTGAAAACTTTGTGGATAACACTAGTCCTGTTTGATGTTTATATTTCAACGCATTTGGGTTATTCACATAGTGTGTATACGTGTTCCAAGTTATTTAGTCAGTAAAATGTTTATCTTAATCAAATGATTTCTTTTCAGTTTCATATGACATTTCTTATAAAAACTGATTTACATTAAATGAAATATCTATTATGGAATGATCTTTTTTTTTTTTCTCCAGGTCAAACAGAATTACTGTCACAAATTCTGCTGGAGATTATGATTGCAGAGAAAGATGTCTCGGAATCAGCTGAATCAATCAAACTGAACAGTCCTATAATTTCACGAACAATAGCATTAAATACTGGTTTAATATGGACAATACCAATCAAGTTAGTTTGCGACTAATAATTTAGCTAATTAGTTGAATTTATGTGAATTCCGATTGTGGCTAATGAAAAGACGGTAGAATCATGTCACAGGAAGTGTGGTGTGGTCTACTTATATCCACATAAGTAGTATATGGTGTTGGTCAGACATAGAATGTATTTTGGCAGAATACCGATGAGGAAAAAACTAAAATGAAGCGCAATCGGTAGGAAAATGCATGAACAATGAAATTAAAGAAGAAACAGTGAGGATTGAGACAATTGCTTGTTAATTTGCAAATTGACTATTCATTGTATGGTTGTCAGAATTTACTGGGATAGTCTGTAATTTTTGCTTCAAAACGTTCAATTGGCTCCAAGCAATGTTCTGTTCACTACAGAAGTACCACTAACTTGTACGGAATGTTTAAATTGACTTCAGCTGCTCGATAGGCACTCAAGAATTTGGTGCCAATAATTTGAGAAGTTTGAATCGAAAATGAATGAGGACTGAACAATACATGAGGCAGATTAGTACGAATCTATGTATTTCGTGGCTTCTTGTCAGCTGCTTATGACCATAAACGGATTAAAGTGCAATATTGAGGTATGTATGATATAATGTGCAACAATTGACATTGATGATGGAAAAGAACTGGAATAATAAAATTTATCAGTACTAACCATATATATATATATATATATATATATATATATATATATATATATATATATATATATATGACTGAACAGGTGTGAAGTCATTTGAATATGGAATTCAAAACCATAGTGGAGTGGGTGAGGCTGTAATCAAACGAAGTCCGGAAACAGAACAGGACCGATTGTGTGATAATTAGAGAAGTTGTAAAGTGTTTACACAAGATTCACATCATTCGAAAACAGATATAGAGGACTTAGGGCAGTAGGGTAGTAATGGTCTAGAATTATAAATTGATAAGATCGGTTACACAATATAAACAGGATTTGAAGAGTTTACGTAAGTTTAGAGAATTAAGTGAATGAAAAAGCCGATGAACACAGGGATGATTTTGGTGTAAGGTAAAAATAGCCAAATAAGAATTAGTTTGGCGATTTAAGTGACTAATGCTACTAATGCTAAAGCTAGTAAGAGGGATATGTGTTTAGGCTTTAGCGTGATCAACCATACGGACATGATAATAATAATGATACAAAGGTATACAAATTGTACTGTTAGGACGACACTGCCTGTTAAATAAGTTAATTGAAGGGCTTGACAAAATTAGACGTAAACATATCCAAGTATATGTGAGGTGGTATAGTCCGAAGGACAGTTTCGAATTTGTACAACAGCCCGAAATCATATATGCTTGCGATACATTTGTGGTATCCTTCGACATCTCATCTCTATTCGCAAAGGTTCCTCTAGAAGAAATGGCTGAAATTATATGTCAATATCCTGAACATCATTCAATGAATCCAAAAGGATTGTTGGAACCCCATTCAGCTATTGTATAATTTGTGTGCTCTCTGTAATTTAAACATTTAATCCACTCTGTAAATTTATGTGAGTTTGATTGAGCGCATGTGTCTGCACATCAATCTTTGATCTATTCTCTCATTGGTTGTAAACAAAGACAATCAATAGTTATCCACAACCCATTGACACTCATAAATATATATGGATTTTTAACACTCATTGACACACACACTCACTTGTTTTGCCGGTGTGCTTGCTGTCTGTACGCTTGCGGATTTTACCAAGCTTCAACAATGAACTATCTCTATAACTGGTGTTCAGGCTTTTGAATAATCTCGAGTAATCCCATAATTCTACTAGGAGATTTATCCTGCATTAAATATTCAGTTAGCGGGATGTTATTTATTTATTGGAGTCAGATATAGAGGAATTAATCCTCTATAGCTTCTTGTTCATGTGTACCAAAACTATATAATTTCAGTTCAATAGTGTGTAGTATCGCCAAATTGATGTAGTCGTCATGGTTAGCCCCCATGGCTCAAGTCTGGCTGATATATTTATGGAGAACCTGGAACAGACAAAGCTAAAACATGTGATTGAATGAATTACACTCTTCTGTAAATATAATAATGACACGGCACATTACAAAGACACATCAACTGCAAAAATACATGGAGTGGAATTTATCTAAACTACAACAGCCTCAGTCCAATAAGTTACAAAAAGGGGATTGTACGAACCATTTTTGACCGCACCCGTAAACTTCCCTCAAAGAAAGTCTAGAAGAAGAGCTTGCCGTCAAAACAACTTGCGCACGTGAAATACATGTCCAGTGAAATTTATCGAGGAGTATGACAAAACCAACGTACGTGTTGAATACGCTGCAGTGGGAAAGAAAACCTACTTCTTATATCTGCGCTTCAAAGGAGATGGAATCACTGAAATAATTAACTACAGGACGAATACCACGATGAATGTTGTTTATTCATCAGTAAGACTAACAACGTTATACCAAATGAACTGTTCACTCAAAGAAACAAAAATTGACTGGTTGTCTTTGCTTAGTACCTGCAACTGCATGTACCAAAGCACATACATTGAAAGAATAGAGAGAAGAGTACATGTTCGCATATCCGAGCACACTTCAAAGAATTAGAGACTGAGAGTCACAACGGCTCTAAACAGTTCAATTGCTCGCCGCTTAATTGATATCGGGCATACCATTGACATTCCACAACCCTTCAAAATTATTAGCAAACAACAAAGCTCAGCGTCTCTCCGGTTTGCTGAAGCAGTAACAATAAGGAAACTCAAACCTACTTTATTTCAGTCAGTCAGTCACAATGTAAAACTTCGTACGTACGTACATCAGTTCAAGTTGCCATACCACATTAGCACAGAGATACAGTTGTTGATTCAAATCACATACTGGTAGAGGTAGTAAGAGTATAAGCAGTAATCCGAAAGATTACGGTTCGAAGATGTTATTCAAGAAGTATAATCCGGTGAAATAGATTTGGAAAGAGAAAAAAGATAGAGACATGAAGAACCCAGAAGACTAGAATTTTGGAGAACACAAAGAGTGGATGCAACTGCGCCATTGCAAACGATTTCGAGACATTTCACTCAAGGTCTCTAACCATCAATTGCTATCGTCTCTCAGATCCTAATCACGTAGTCCACACCTACCAACATGGCTCAGTCCACTTGTCAGTGACTTCAAGGACTTGTGCCACGTCTTGCTCTGGCTGCCCCTAGCTTTCTTCCAACCTATTCCTACACCATAAAACATCGCACCTGCTTTATGTATCCGAAAGAGACATTAATACACTTATCACTACCTTGGTAGATTCACAGTTCTAACTAATTTCACCTGGAGTTACTTTTTTTGTTATTATTACTTTATGAGTGTCTACTTTGTTATCTTATCTTCGCCAAACTAATTCTTATTTGGCTATTTTTACCTTACACCAAAATCATCCCTGTGTTCATCGGCTTTTTCATTCACTTAATTCTCTAAACTTACGTAAACTCTTCAAATCCTGTTTAACTATATTGTGTAACCGATCTTATCAATTTATAATTCTAGACCATTACTACCCTACTGCCCTAAGTCCTCTATATCTGTTTTCGAATGATGTGAATCTTGTGTAAACACTTTACAACTTCTCTAATTATCACACAATCGGTCCTGTTCTGTTTCCGGACTTCGTTTGATTACAGCCTCACCCACTCCACTATGGTTTTGAATTCCATATTCAAATGACTTCACACCTGTTCAGTCATATATATATATATATATATATATATATATATATATATATATATGGTTAGTACTGATAAATTTTATTATTCCAGTTCTTTTCCATCATCAATGTCAATTGTTGCACATTATATCATACATACCTCAATATTGCACTTTAATCCGTTTATGGTCATAAGCAGCTGACAAGAAGCCACGAAATACATAGATTCGTAATATTTTGCTTCAATTGCTAATTTTTTCGTATACTGATATTTAACTGGAAGCAGCCACTTGAAATTTTGAAATTTTTTACCTTGCTTTTTCCATAATAATATGATATTTTCCAATGTTCTTTATCAGCAAGTGGTATTCCGATCCGTTTAAACAAGTCTACTCGATAAGAAAAGATTAGTGAATCTTGTTAATGGATGCGCACAATTCGTTAAGATTTGTCTTAAACTTCTAAGGAAACATGCATGCACCATTTTTCGGAAATCTGTTCTGGCGTTCTCAATGAGACACACATACTCATGAATTAATTTAAGGAAATATTCTGATTCGAATTGGTTGACTAAAACTTTCTACTTACGTTCTTGGTTCTTTCACTTAAGTATCTGGTTGAGCTCACGTATAAAAAGGGAATATTATCAATGTCAACCAAAACAAAGTTTTAGGTTTGAGCTATATACTGTAGAGAGTCTTATTTACTTGTTCCATTGAATGCTACTGTACTTTCAGAGCTTTTTCCTGCTTCTGAAGAGCTTGTGAAGTTACTCTCATGATTTCAGGTAACAACTTTCACTGGCTCCTGAACTTATATTGAATAATAAAATATATTTTACAAATAAGAATACAAAAACACTAAAAATTTGAAATAACTAAATCACTTACCATATGATTTTTGTCTAGTTTGAATGTGAAGTTGAGTTTTTTTCATTTTTCGCATTCAGTACTAATGAACAATTTTATAATGAATTAAAACATTGGCCAAATTCACCTATATTTCAACGTGTGTACGATTCATTTAATTTAATATTTTGGGTACGATTAAGAATGAATGAAGGTAAGACATGTAAATATGTAAATAATGATTGTAAGTTATTAGTTTACCATTATTGAAATAAATTTTTCATCAGAATAAAGGGTTTTGTGACAATTATTAAATTTGGTTTACTTCCCACCATGGGTCGACTTCACTTAATTGGAAACCAGGATGTTTCATATGCTTGTTTTATTCTATTATGGAATTCCTTAGTAGTTCCAATATTCAATCTGACTGGAAAAGTGGTTGCAAATTAATGCAAGTTGAGTTAATTTCAACACGTAAACTATTAGGTACTGGTTCGGCGGTCTAATGTCTAGGCGCTCACTGTAAGAACTGAGGAACTTGGGTGTGATTTCTCTATGAGGTCTTGAATGAGCACTGTTGAATGCTGTTTTATGATGAAACAAATATCTAGTGCTTCTTGGTTCTCAGTGGTTTTTAACTAAGATTAGTCCACGATAGAAGCCATAAAACTGTTTCAATGTTCTTACTTTTTTTTCTAATAATTGAACTAAGATGTTTTTTAATCTCGTTATACTAAGACTCTTATGACTGTTTTGAAAATGAGATTCATTACAGCCTTATTTTGCGGTAATATTAATTTCCGTCGAAATTAGTCGTCATAGTTTTTCAACTATAAAGTTGACAACAGTGTAGTGTTATTGATATGTAGTAACTCAAAGAAAATAGTTTGTATACGTTTTCACGGCCTAGGACAATACGGTTTCAATCAATGGATCATATTTATTTATGGTGCGTGATAATAGACTCCCCAGTTGTCCCAGTAGAATCTGATGGGTTTTTTTATGTACCACCAGCAGTGGAGTCAACCAGGAGTTTGATTCACAATATTACAGAGTAACACCATCGGATTTCATCTGGTAGTACCCTGTTACCGAAATAAATACATAAGTTATTTTTAACCTGAAGTGTTTGTAGAATCAAGGTATCCTAACTCCTCTGGTTAGAATCATTGTAACCATTAACCAAGTCTAAGAGCACGTTTTCCATTTATTCTCTTCAATTCTCCATAGAAATACCATTGTCGTGCAGAGGTAATTAGTAGGACATTTCTAACAGAAGCTGTAAACGCATTACCAAAAGATGGCCATTCGAGAATGAGAGGGACAGAGAGAATTCTCTCTGCAGTTATCTATCGAGTGACAATGACATATTTCGTGTTTTTTTTTAATATTTAGAATGAGATTTTTTGTTAGTGTTTATTTAAACGATTGTGGGTACATTTTAAAATAAATTACCATGGAGAAATACAAAACATCAGAGAGCGCTGTATACCTTTGTTGACTTAAACTGATTATATTTTATCAGTGCACATATGTAAGCTTTTAAATCCATAGAATCCAGTGGTTCTTCAGCCTTTGGCATCTCATATTTAAAACTTTTCTTCGAAATTACGCTTATTGTCATGAAATAAATTACACTAGATCTTGACTGACAGAGTTCAGTCATGTTAGGGAGTGGAATAGCAGTCACCATTAAGGGCATTACCTTATTGTCGTGTTATATCCTGAATGAATTAAAGTTGAACCCTTAGACTATTTCAACTCAGTTGCAACTTGGACCAAGCAGTTGCCTCAAAAGCTGAAGGTTCTGAATTCGATTTATGGAGCGGTTGTTAGTGCATACTGCTGTGGATCCTTTATCGTAATAAGACATATCTGATGGTCGATGATACTCACCTTGATCACAATGTTTAATGAAAATCACCCAGAAATACTGATAGTGATTATAGTTTCTTTGAAAAATGTCTCTGTTTTGTAGATTCTACAAAATCGATAGAGAGCCCGGTCGTGACAGAAGACAATAGTAATTCTTTATTACAAAGTAACACTAAACAAATAATTGACAATGATACTATTAACATTACTGCGCAAACCAGTGAAAATCAGTTACAGATAACACCAACAACAACAAACTCAACAATAAATAATACCAAAGAAGAGCAAAACTTGAATCAGGTCGATGGTAATAAAAATATTCGCAACAAGGACGAGGTGATAGATGATTATAAACATTCACATATTGAAATTGATGAATATTTTGATGAATCACTACTAACACTTAATGATGATGAAACCGTTGAAAATATGGAATCAATAAATGAAACTATAATGAATAGTCAAGATAATACTGCATTACCAGTAACTATATTTACATCGATTACAATTACACAAGGACCAAATGTTTATAAAGCTGGAGGTGAGATTAATGTTAAGTCTGTTTTATGAATGGGCGAGATAAGGTCATTTCTTACACTATATTATTCAAATTTTCATAAAAATTCTTAAAAGTTATGTACGCCAGACTCGTTATTCATTTTTTCAACCGAAAATGTTTTGTTAGAATTATATACTTAGTCGACTTTTCAGGATACAGTTTCTCAACAGTTGGATGTGATAAAACGCTAGACACTTACGAAGTTTTCATCAGCAAATTAGGTTGATTGTCTTCTTATAGTAAAATTATCTTCGAAGTCTTCATATCTATTAGAACTCTATTATTTTGAATGAACCATCACTTTTTAATCTCTTATCTTTATATGCAATAGTTAACATTTTATGGATTTCTCGAGAGAGTTTTCACAACTTTAACAAAAACCTTGGTTTATGTCACGTATTTATTGGAGAGATATTGAGGATGTTAAATGAGAGGTTAAATTGGACAGCTAATAATGGAAAATAAACCCCATCAGTTCTAACACAATACAGTAGAAATAGCAGAAATATTAGACGATAATTTATGGTTCATTACTGTGGACACCTTATAAGCTAATAAAACTTTGATGAATTAATCGAATCCTCAAAAATATTTGATTAAACGTTTTTAAATGAGATTAGATGTATTCAATATGTTTATTTTCCGGTGAGAATAGTTAGTAAAGAGCAGATAAATATTTCAGTGAATCATTTCCTCTCAAACAATTGAAATATCAATCACAGGAAAATCTAAACAAATAGATAGCTATTCTGACTCATTTTCCAAGACTATGATGTATTTGTGCTAATAGCAGATATGTCTTTTGGATTTGAGTTCCAGTAGTGATGTCAGTAATGTGTTAAAAGTCCATCCATCTAATGAATCATAAGGTGAGATAAAATCGGCTCTCTGAAATCCTACTTCTGGTCATAATTGAAATTGAAACAAGTCAAATGTTTTCCAAAGAGTTTATAGGGCATTTGACAATTGAGGTGGTGGAGAAAATTTGTAGCACAGGTGCTTGATTTTGGTAGAGTTTTGTTCTCTGACCTGAATGGTTTGGTCGTGGAGCTTTCATCGTTCTCGTGAACAACATCATCACCACAAACTTCAGGTAGAAGCAAAGTTTTCTACCAAGAAGTATTTGACAATCGCTTTTTTTAATGCTTTAGTGAGAAGCTCTGACTAGTGGATTTCAATCTTGACAGGAGTGTCTCAACTAGCTGTGGATAGCTTATAAGACTGAAAATAGTAGAAAGCTTTGTTCTAAAAAACAGGATGAATATGTACATTATTCATAATAACAACCACACGTGTCTTCATTGACCCAGATAGATACATATCGTCTATGACCTTGACCAGACACGTAATACAACTATTCCAGTAGAATTCCTAGTACTTGTAAACCAGTTAAAATCAAGAAAGCAACTTCAATGTCTCAGTGCTTACAGAAAACCAAGATACGAACTATCGACTGTATGGTAATTAACTTCAGTGAAAAAATTGTCAAATACGTACTACAAGTTGAATTATTGAGAAAGCAATCATTTGAGAAAATTGCAAAACGCGATGGCGTCAATGGCTATAAGCATTGCCAAAATGGGGTGATATTTCTTAACAAAGTTGGTTGTTGCTTTAAGTTTGGGTAAGAGTTTGGAAGTAAAATGAATCTGTATAAACAACTTTATAATCATGACAAAATGAACTTTAATAAATTTTGATTATTCATTAGTGGTGTAAAAGATAATGTATACTATGTTAAATTCTTCAAATTTGTATCACAATTCATTAACTCATATTAATAGTTTTCATATTGGTTGAAATGAATTAGAACTTTCTCAAGGTCATTCTGAGAGTCTCAAGTTTGTAAATATGCTTTGGCTTAACCTTATTAAATGTTTTCTCCACGTCGACGATTATTTACACGTTAAAACGAGAAACCACTACAATCCCCACGACTCGAAGTAAGAGATCAAAGACTGGTACAAGTAAAGATTTGTTAATCCCAAAAATCTGATGATCCTAGTCGAAAGTGAGCTCATTTATATATTGGTCGGTACACCCATTTGTTTATTAATTGGAAAAAGGTCACATAAATCCAACTATAACATGATCGCATGTTGCATTTTATGTTGAACATAGTTCACGTTAATTGAATACAAATAACATTATATCATGAATAAACAGCACACTAAAATAAATCAGTGTTATATTGAATAGAATATCACACTGAAATTAAATATCACACTGAGTAATTAGCTTATTGAATTAAAAACGGAAGTAATCACATTGGACAAAATATTTAATTTCGCCACTTTATCCTATCATTTCACCTACCTTGCGGCCTTATGATACCATGTGATTTGTCTGACTTTTACAATAACAAGAGATTCAGCTCAGTGGTCTAAAGGATAAGCACTCGCGTGCGAGACTGATAGGTCCTGGGTTCGAATCTCGCGAGGCGGGATCGTGGATGCGCACTGCTAAGGAGTCCCACAATAGGACGAAACGACCTTCCAGTGCTTCCAGGTTTTTCACGGTGGTCTAGCTCTGATTAACTCATGATCTCAACTATTAAAACAAGAGACTCGTTTGAACTAACTCAGATTATCACAGTATATGCTTTACTGTGAATTATTGGATTCTAACTCAAAGTGTCCCAGAAATATTGCACCATCGGCTTGATCTAATGATCTTAATTTTTACTTTCTTTTGAAAGTTCATGGAGTCTATTCAATGTTCTCTTGATTTTCTATACCTTTCTATACGATATCAAATCTTGATTTAAATTATCAACAGTTTTACGACAGTTAATTATCAACTTTATTTAAAATTGATATGTCTCACATCTAATGTGTTTTGTATTCTATTTATATATATATATATATATATATCATAGTTATGGGTATAACACTGGAACCAGATTATTTATCTGAACAGTTAAATATGATCCCGGAATGTTCAGTTACACAATCGAACAAATTATGTTATTTATTAGAAGATGCAGCTAACATAATTGCGGTAAACAACAAATTATTATATTATCAGGTAAATCTCAATATATGTATACATATTATTTGTGTTGTACCATATCCATTCTGATATCGATATACACAAGCTTTCCATATGCAGGCCCAAGTGACTACTTGAATTGATATACCGAGAATGAGAAGGATGTTTTATTGGCTAAACCAATTTTTGTATATTTGTCGCGTATATATTCTAGCCACATGTCTAACCAATGACATGTATCTCGTCCCTTAATAAACGAAACCAACCTTTGGTCATTAACTTATACTTACCATATGGTCTATATGTAGCTGATTCACTGCATCGGTATTCTCCTTTTATTTTACACTTTAGTCATTATATTTCCGTTCCAATGTTTCATGCTTAACTTCAGTATAATAATAGTTAACAATGAAAATCATTTGTAATTACATATTGTTTTAAGTTACTCATTATTGTTCTAAGATTGAACATATTGAATAATGTGTTTCATACACGACGATCAGCGATCAGAAACTGTCAATAGCAAATCTAGAATCTGGGTTTTGTGCTAGTCGGGATTTGAAACCCTAAGGGAACCGATACTGCCAGCGGGATTTGGGACTGGGATGTAAAGTCACTTAAATTGAAGATCATATCGCAACTACTTATATGCAATTCCATTGGCACTATAGAACTAGAACAATATAAAATTGGTCACTACTCAGTGATCTATCACTGCATATATAGTCTGTGATATATTATGTAATATTGATTGTTATTATTATTATGAGTCCTTAGATACCTATAAAACGTTTTCGTATATATTTGATAATAGTTTAAAACAGATATCGACTATGTCTTTGATAACTTCATGTAATCAAACGTAGAAACAGCCATCTATTAACCAAATAACTCAGTAATACCATCTCAGTTTGCTGGTTTGAATTGTATCAAGTTTAAACCTAACATGGTTTTCATGATTCTTTCAAAGTTTTAGAAAAAACTTAGTGTGTGCTAAATGGTAACAAGGACTGTAATCTATGTCTTAAGTATTTTTTCAGGCTTGAAAGTCATGGATTCTATTCACGTCGGGTTCGTGGATGGTTACTGTTGAGGAGTCCCGTTCTCGGACGAAATAATTGCTCAGTGTTTCCTGGTTTTCGATAGTTTTCTGACCAAAATCAGTTTAAGATATGAAATTTCAAATGTTTCTACATAGTTGTATGCAAACGTCAAATTAAAAGTGCCTACCTTTCGTTTCCTTTGATCGGTAGTGTAATTCATCGCTAATGTTCTAAAATATTCCAACATTTATTAGTGATCATTCATTAAATCGATAGAGTTTGTAATTTGAGTAGTGTGGCCAACCTTGAAAATAATCCATCGTCTTTTTTATCGTTTGGTTTCGAAAATTCTGAGGAAAGTAGAGGCGCAACGAAATGTACCAACCAGTTGTAGACACCTTGTTATGGCTTGAAATCGATTATCGATATCACGTGTTAGAGTTACCACTGAGACTTCCAATCACAATTTTTTATCACTCAGCTACTATTTCTTCTGTTGCCTATTTTCCTAGACTTGACCAGTTATACGTCTGACTTGCACCGTTAACCTTGGGCGGACATAAGCTATTCGTACCCTGTACTCAAGCGAACTAAATAATAAGCCCGTAATAAACTAACAGTAATTTAATAAACCTACAATACACAATAACAGTTAATACATTATAGAAAAGTTTACAAGCAAGATAATACAGAAATACGATTATATAGGTACTTCATAATTATAGGACAAGAAAACAGATGATTTCAAGTAGGACAGTTCTGAAAATTCGACTTCCTTAATACTCGTTCTTTTATGTACAGAGATTAGTGTATAAACAAAGTATTTTGTCAATTAGTTTTTGTTGATGATATTACGCAACCTTCTATCAAAGCAGTTGGTGAGCTTGTGTTCAGCCTAACCAACTTACATGAGCCACTGGTATAAGCTTTCAATTTTAATGTTCTCCACAAACCTGTCATGATAGTATTTTCTGTTCATCTGGATATATCTAGAACTGTTTTTAGGCTTCTTCTTTTTCTGAAGTCTACTTATAACTAAGAAATATTTCATAAACTTAATATTACAACTAGTTTTGTGTTTAGAGTAAATGAATTATAAACATATTATTTTTCGTTATACTACAGATAGGTCAATTCCTTGGATATATTGATCCAGATCTAATGAACTCCTTAGTTCAGAATCATGTTTATGGAGTGTAAGTTGTTTTCACAAATTTTCTTTCATCTTAATATTTTATACTATTTCATAAGTTGACTAACCGTTGTGCTTCAAAACAATTTGATTACAACCAGTTTTTGTAAGGAATAATATTAGCATTCTGTGATACCTGGAAGTAGAAACCAAGGATGTCAGACAGTTGGAGGCAGTTATGTAAACTACGATGTTTTCGTACCAAGAAACATCAAACAAAGTTCGTTATATACCTGGGATTAATTTTGTAATGAACAAAAACTCAGGTATGGTATACTAATTTATTGTCTTAGGTTAAATAACACAGTGCGTTTTTAAAATATAAAAATCATACGTTAAATACATCATTTGCAAATTTTCCTTCACTTGTCCTTTAAACAATCCATCATTCTTCTAATTCTGTTGTTATTTAGACTGCTCTTCGATCTCCTTCCTGTTCTTTTCATTTCAACCTTCTTCTGGTAAGCACTGCACTTCCGATTCCTGCCACATACTGCTTATGCCTGTCCTCATAAGCAGCGCACACCACAATTTGACTGGATTTCTGGCAGAGATGGATTGTTGTAATTATTTTCTCAGATGTCTACTTACCTACTTACTTACGCCTCTCACCTCCAATGCAGCATAGGGAACCGACCAGCACTCTTCGACCCACTCTGTCCTGGGCCTTCCTTTCTAGTTCTATTCAATTGTTGTTCGTTCTTCTCATGTCTGTCTCCGTTTTTCGGCGTAATGTGTTCTTTGGTCTTCTTCTCGTCCTTCGGCCTTGAGGATTCCAAGTTAGTGCTTTCCACTTCCAGCACTTCTTCCTAATTTCTTCCTCCACTGGAATCTGGTTTGTTCTCTCCCATAGTAGGTTGTTGTTGATAGTGTCTGACCAACGGATCCGGAGTATCTACTGGATGATGGCTTTCGTAGTTCTCCAAGTTTCCACCCCATACAGTAGAACTGTCTTGACATTCGTATTGAAAATTCTGACTTTGGTGTTGGTTGGCAATCGTTTTGAGTTTCATATGTTCTTCAATTGCCTATATTCCCATTCGCATTTGCATCAAATCTACCAGGCTCACCAATGATGTTGCCTAGATGTGTAAAGGATTTTACATCCTCCAAAGCTTCTCTGTCAAGTGTGATTTGATTGGTTCATGTTGTGTTGTATCGGAGAGTTTTGCTTCTCCCTCTGTGTATGCTGAGACCTACTACTTCGGAGGCTGCTGCTACACTGGTCGTTTTCTCCTGCATTTGTTATTGGGTGTGTGATAGAAGAGCCAGAACATCTGCAAAGTCTAGATCGTCCAGCTGCATCCTAGGCGTTCAATGTATCCCGTGCTTCTCCCAATATGTTGATGTCGATCACCAACAGAAAGAGAAATGTTGGGAGTAATCAACCTTGCATGATACTGCTCTTTACTTCGAACGAGTCTGTCAGCTGTCCTCCATGCACGATTTTCCAGTTTAATCCATCATAAGAATTCCATATGATATTGACTATCTTCTCAGGCACGCCATAGTGTCGAAGAAGCCTCCATAGTGTTATCCAGTCCACGCTGTGACTTCATGTCTTGGTGATTTTAACTGACAGCTTCCAAATTGACTACTGAAATGATTAGAAAAGTTCTGAAAAATCACCTTCAACTAATTTTCTCCTAACGAAAATCATCTGGCTATTTATGTTTTCACTACAAGTTGATTTGATACAGCACCATGAACTTTATATATCTGACAAATGTCTAAGAGTAAAATGCAGAACTTGGATCCCCACATATTTGAAACTTGTTTAAATTGAATGTACTTGGATCCCAATGTTGATGTTCACACTGAGAGACTCAAAGCAAGTGCTTATTGCTACAGTTCTGAATATCAACAGCTGGAGATAGAAAAAGTCGTTACTAACATCATAAAGATAGTTAAAATGGTTCAATTCTTTCATATGAACTAGAAATCTTTCTAAAACAGAGGCTATTTACACGCAGATCAAGTTGCCTGTCAATCGACCTCTTTTTATTATCGGTAGTTTTCAGTATTTTATTACAAAAATACTCTGGTTTACTTTGATTTTATTCTTTTCATGTAAGTAATCAAGGTATAACTCAAGAAAAAATTGATTTTTAAGTTATATTTCTCAAAACACAGCAAGGTAAAATTTCACAGTAACTTTTGAGAACAGATTACATTTTATAATTGTTAACATGTAAAACGTTTAACTTGATATTAATGAAACTTTTTTTTTCTTTTTAAATCCATTTGTTCATTTCATATTGAATTTAGTTTGAAGGATTATGATTTTGAAGGAACATGCTTTCCTAGAGAAGATATGCTTGAGACGACTTCTCCTGGAATACACCCAATACCGGTAGGATACTCTGCTATCATTTTAACTAAAAACTTTGTTTTTTGAAGGGTATTTTAAATCAGAATAATTATTTTCGTTGAATCTCAAGCAAATGAGTGCTTAAAATAGCTGCTGGCCTGGTTTGTGAAGATATCGTACTAGGAGCTTGATGGGTAGTCTGTTCTTCGGACACAAGACCAGGAATAAAAGACACATATTGGTGAGCTAGTAAGAGTAAAGTCGATTGTATTGGTCAGACTATATCACTGGCCAAGGGCGCTAGGATGTAAATGAGATAGCGTATGCGGAGTAGAAAGATTTGTGGAGATTTTAGGACTTTCATAAATTGAATCATGGACTAATCTTAGCTAAACCACCATTATAAACCTGGGAACAGTTTCGCATCATCAAGGGATTGATCAAAAGTGGGCGTCCACGACCCAACAACTGGGAATTAAACCCAGGATCTTCAGTCTCACGTGCGAAGATTTAACCGTTAGACCACTGATCTGAAATCTAGTGGTGAACATGTCTGACTACAATAGAGATCTAGTTATAAGAAAATTATTACCGAAATTCTTATTGGCGAACCTACCAAGTTATATCGACCAAACCGCTCTAACATAGCAGTTGACTAACATAACTTTTATGATTATCAGAATGGTGGTTGTGAAGGCTGCTGAACATTTTTCGCGATCACGAACTGACCTAATTAGTTCTCATTTTATTTTCCTTTTAATAGTCTATCCTTATGTACACACAAAGTCTGTTCAAAGTGCGTGTTTGGTTGGATCGATTACTGACAGTCGGTTCAGTAAGTGCATTTATTACCAGGTAAGTTTAATTGTCTGTGAACTGTAAAATATATACACCATTTAGTTGCTATTTAGTATTAGCTATAAGTAAATAAATTCAGTGTGTTTATCTGTCTACTTGTTGGTAATCCAATAATGTCGATCGAGTGGTAAAATTTAATAAACTACAAATCTAACCGATTTGACTTGTAAGTAAAATTCGTTTAATGCTCTATCTTGAGATAAGCTGAATCAAGTGTCTGTAAAAACCCATATCCAACGATGTAACTAAAATCAATAATTACATTAGTTACATTGATATAATCACAGTGTTAAACGTTAACGACACAAAACTAGTCATTTAAGGCTTACATCAGCCTTCTTTTCCGGGCCAATCACGTCATCGTATTGTCTGGTTTCTTCAGAAATTAACTAGTTCCTGATAATTTCCTAGAAGTATATCACACAAAAACATTTAGAAACTTGTTTTAACTGTATGAAAGTTCGATTTGGTTTATTAATATTTCTCCCGATTGTTGCTGCTACCTTGCCGCGGTGGTCGGGCTTGACTATCGTGATGAACCAAGCGAAATATATTGACTGGAACGTTCGTTCCTCAAGATCCTACCAGGCCAGACAGATTGGTTAAAAAGCGGTAAGACTAAAAGCAGCAAACTCAATATCCGAGGGTGAAGTCGTACTGCTGACTGTACAGAGGTGTGACGGCAGTAAGGTGTTTCCTTCAAACAACTAGCATAACAGCGATTCTGCCTTTCCACAAGTAGGGGTGGGGTTAGAAAAGGTTGACCCTCAGAATGTACAACTCGTCTTATCCCAAGGATATCCGTCTCCGACAGTAAGGTCTCAACAAGTACGGAACTAATATAAAAATTACTCATAAAAAGGTCGTGTGTGACCGATCTCAAGCAGTTTTCTCTTGGGCACTGCAGTCACACACTCAGGTCACTAAGACTAACTATAATCCAATTTTCTTTCCAGGTACCTATAGAAGAACCCTTCCACGGTGTGGGCAAGTTGTAAGTTGTTACTCCAAGACTGGCCTGCGTCAACACCTGAACTAAGGATAAGGATTAAAGTAGTCGAACGCGTCGACAACTTCACTTATCTAGAAAGTGTGATCAGCCTTAATAGGTTGGTGTCTGACGAAATCTCTGCACGGATTCAAAAAGCTCGTTTGGCTTTTGCCAACTTACGTCACCTATGGCGAAGGCGAGATATCCGTCTATCAATTAAGGGACGTGTATACTGCGCAGTAGTTCGCTTTGCGGATGCGAAACATGGCTATTAAGGGTAGAGGATACTCGTAATTTACTATTATTTGACCACAGATGTCTTAGAAATATTGCTCGCATCTGCTGGGATCACCGGGCAAGTAAGAGTGAGGTTAGACCCAGGGCATTAGGGAGTGATGGTAAATCAGTTGATGAGGTTGTGAATCTTTATCGACTGAGATTGTAGGACCACGTATTGCGTATGCCTGAACACCGATTACCACGACGTGCTGTGCTAACTAGTATTGACAATCGTTGGAATAAAGTTAGGGGCGGCCAAACCAAAACGCGGCATCAGTGCTTGAAGTCACTAACTTCTAGTCTGAGCCATGTTGGTAGATGCAGACTACTTGGTTGGGATCCACATGACTATCGTAGGCAATGGTTGGAAACTCTGAGTGACATGGCTCAGAATCGGTCACAGTGGTGTGCATGCATACACTCTTTTTCTTCTCTTAAAGCATGAGATTAAAATTACTTCATATCTTTCTACGAACAAATTCTTTCTTCCTACTTTATATCCTTACATGCAATCTTTCTTTTGTAATTTACTACCATTGAAGTAACTACTTCTATGAATTTGGTATCCGTCCACTTGTTTTAATGCGGTGTGACAACTTCGACCGATGCATATATGTGCCTGATCCTACGTCGTGGCTGACTGACTGACTAATATTTCTTTCATATTCTCTATAATGTCGGTTGTACAGTAGTTAAGTTAGTCAGCTATGCATAACGATGAACTTAGTACAGTTGCTTATCCTTTCATGGTGATGCATCATATCAGCACTACGAGGTGAAATTATCAAGATAGGCGTCATAGTATTACAAGTAGTAGCAGTATTAGTACTATTGAAAAAGTTTATTTTTGGAAAGTATGACTAAAGAAGAAAGAATGAATTCTCAGAATAAAATGTATAATATAATTTTAGAGCTTATGATATATGGGGAGATAAACATTAAATACGTTCGTGCGATTCAGATTCTGATATATGCCACTCAGTGTCTTCAGACCTTGGTCGAGATTATCGCGCATGCCCCAACCAGTTACACTGCATCTATCAACGTATCTCAATCCAGCAATGAATAACTATGAACTTATTCTAATTCTTGGTTTTTCTACTCTTAAAATTTTTCAACCTTTTACTACACCAGCATACATAGCGAATCGACTTGCACGATGGTTCGACATACATATAAGTCCCAACTATCTTGGTTGATGAAGATCCACGACCTTATCAACCAAGTTATTTAATTTACCTGGCACTCTAACAATAGTGTTATACCTATTGCTTTTTTTATCGATATGACCAATTTCTAAACTACTGGATTTTAGCTCGTAATTTTTATTTCATTTTAGAGCATTTATCATGGGAATGATTAGAATAATAGGTAATTTTAAATTTTCCTGTCGATTTTTCCTTTTCTCTGTTGCATTAAACTATGGATTAACTGTTGAAATTATATTGCATTGAATCAGTATATAGTGTAAAGTTTACTTGATATGATGAAGAAGATGGAAAAGTACCTTTTAATAAAATAACAAACATACACTGGAATGTAGTGGTAGTGATAAATGTTAGAGTTTTAGATAATATCTCATTTCATTTATAGGATGGGAACTTTGGAAAATTGTATAAGATGTTAATTGTATGTCAACAATGTTAGAGTAAATTTAATAACATAATGATTTAAGATATTCCGTTGCTTTTCTATCAGTTTTTAAATTTTTGATGTCTTTTTGCGTCGTCCATTATGCTAATACTGCTTCGATATAGCCATTTGTTACAGGTTTTTAATAGAATAAATCAAATATGAGTAGCAGTGTAATCTGGGATAATCTTTCCGTCTGGACCTTTAAAGCGATAGACATTGGTTTGCAATGTTGATGAGAACATTAATCTTAGGCTTCACGTACATCCGGTTGGTGAGTGCTGAACGGGACAAAATGAGCATTCTTGATCCCACCGCTAGTCACATTCCGTTTATTCTACTAACAATTAGATTGAATACTTATATTATACTTCTTTTTTACAATATATTTAACTGTACTAAGAAGAAATAAAAATGATTCCTATTTCTTCTTGAATACCTCAAAGCTCAGATCCATTTTATCAGCCAGTCAAGTACTTCCTAGAGTGGACTGAAAATACGCTACTATAGATACAAATGCAATTAAAACAGTTAAATAATATTCATCTCTGATAGAACCCACTTAGAAAGCTATCGGATGTCCAATAAAAATTCAAGAATCAAAAAGAACTCATCAAAGAACAGATCATTTGTCGAACTGAGAACTAATAAATAAGTATAGTGTGAGCAATTCACTAATCAAATAATCGTTTGAGTCATCTTTCAAATGTTAAAACGATCAGTCAAAAGACAAGACATTGAGGTTAGCTTGAATACCAGTATAGATCGAGGAAGCATTAGTTAGCTGTTTCATCCTAGTACGCGACATACAGTCTCACATAGTCAGTCATTGCGGTAAAGTTTCACCTGAAATTCATTCATTATGAAGACTACTTCACAAAAATATCATAACATTGGACTATTGTATTGTTTCATAATATTGGCCCTTCATACTTGACTCGGAATATATACATCTGTTAAGCTTGTTTAAATCGTTGACATATTAGTATCATATGTGTTTCCTTCATTCTGTCATTCCAGTCAGTTATACACAACGAAGAACATGACATCTATGGTCATCTGTTCAACCTTCCGAAACATATTAGCAGATTGAAATGAAATTGTCAACATAAATGCCAGAGTATTAAAAGTAGCAATAGTATCAGTAGTACTTAGAAAACAGTATAACTGTAGAGAGAAGTATATAACAATCTTAAGGCTTAAAATCTAAGAGAAGTCAAAGACTAGATGTATCACTCCAATATGGACCATATCTGAATCATGTCACCTAATGTCTCTAATTAATGGTCACGATTATCTAGTGGACGTCAACTAGGCAGCATAAACCTATAAATATAACTCAGTTCAACAAAGAATGACTTTATATACTGATATCATATTTTGGCTTAGCTGCTACTGGCTTTTTTCTAAACAACTCCTGCACCAGCATACAAAGTACGTCATTGGATGAGACTGCTTACATGCCACTCATTTGTGTACACTTTATTTACTTTGATAATAACAGCTTCATAGTCATCCTGTCACGATAAATTGTGCAAGTATTTCTGAAGATCGTATACTTGTATCTGGGTCGGACAACCGTGAAATCTAACAACACGTGTGTAAACTAACAAGAAGAAAAAACACAATAGGAGGAATAGTAAAACATAAGAAATCTTAACAAGAAGTATATAGCTAAATAGGGGCCAGTGAGATCCTAAAAACTGAAGGTAAGTGATAATATGAAGATCCAAGATCTAAGGGAACACAAAAAGAATAAATCCGTCCGCACTGTTGTAACAGATTTTGAGCCATACCACTATAAGGTCTTCAACCATTTGTCACAATTATTGTGTGAACTACAAACGAGATGTTACATTCCCATAAAGCTCAGGCCAATAGTCAGTGAATCTTTGGATTATTGCAGTTTTTCAACATCTTCATGTACCATCCAGCATTCTACATCAGTGTAGAAGATGGATGACCCCTTGCAATACATTTCCTGACCACCTAAGTCGTAGTGAACGAGGACACAAGTGGGGATAATCGAATGTTTCTGAACACAAAATTGCAGAACGTCCTAGTAAAATCTGAGAACCATACAGTGAATACTTATTTTGCAAAATGTTCATCAATTGTCTCAAGCTTGACTGTTCCTTTTCAAATATCAGTCAATCGTCACAAACTTCAATGTTCCTGCATTTCCATAGCATTTGCTTTCTGTTTCCGTTCTTTCCTGTTCTAGTTTTTTAAGCTTCTCTAACCAGACATTATATACTATTTATGTCGATATAAGTAGCACACACTACAAAAGTACAGAACGTTTATACATTTAGAAGTCAGAAGTCCCTACATTTGATTTAATACATATAAATATTTTTTCTTGTCATTTGTATTTTCTTTGGCAGTTTCAGGTGATCTCAACGATGATGTCGATCCACAAAATAAACCATATCAGTGCATTAAACTAATTCATCGCTATTATTCATTAAATGGAGAGTTATATGGTACAAGAAACCCATCAATCAATGTCGGCTTTAACCATGGAATTCAAGGATTTATATCATGTCCTCAACAACGTAATCGTGATTGGTCAGTACAGTGGATTATCGGTACAAATCTGTTGTTACTTATCACAGATCCAATATTTGCTGAATGTGAAAACAAAACACATAATAATCGTTTACGCCGAGATCCTGTAAAAGGTTAGTTATAAAAGAAGAAAGCGATTTTGAAAATTTGCCTTGGATAGAAATGTGTGCTTTAGAGGATAGATAGACTGTACCTGGAATTGGTATCTGGGATATGTGTTTTTTCCTATTCAAGACAAGTCAACTGGATACAACTACATCCCACTATTTTTGTGTTCACGTTTGGACACAAATCCATCAAATTTTGACTTTTAAAAAATGTGTCTATTATTATCTTTTTGATGCAACATCCACATAGTGTTAAGTTCGTTACTTGATTGATGTAGAATACGGTATACAACTAGGACACTCGAACGTATAGAACCCCGCAGTCGCAAATCAGAAGACAAAAGAAATCTGGAGAAGTGTTTGCTGGGTAAGAATCAAAATGTACAGAAAATCATGGGTATTTATAGATATTAGCGTTTATTGTATCAACATTATAATTCAGCCAATCCCCAAAGAGGCATGTTATGCTACTGTCCAATAATAACATGCCATCTTGATATTCTAGACAGCTCCCTTACATTCAGACTGGATGGAAACTCTTCGACTCCATTAGGGCCTCTGGAGGCTCCTTTGTAGTTCTCGAAAGCCGCCCCAACACCTCCCCGGTATAAGATTTTTCCTTGGATCTACTTGTAGCCTGAAAACTGGTTCGCGACGGCTTTCCATTTTCTTCTCTGTCTTTCTTGTTCAAGTCTTCTCTTCAGTATTCTTGGAAGTGTCGTTGATGTATCTGAGATTAATTCTAGTGGAAGATTCAGCTGAATATCTCGTGTGTGCATAATTCTTTTATGTTTATGGATTTGGTTTGTGTGTCTGTCACATGTGCCTAAAGTTCCTCGGACTCTGTGCAAAACGTTTATCAATGTTTGTACGATTTTTCCGGGTTCTCTTCGCTTCATTCCGAAGAAGGGCTTAATGAAAACTTTGTCGCCGACGTTAAAATATCGGATATTCCGATTTTATCTGAGTCCTTTCATTGGTTTAGGTGGCAAAATGATGTAGAATGTAGTTGGGATGCTTCTCCCGAACATTGCCTTAGCAAAGGACATTCCATCTCGGATGATAGGTTTAGGTGTAGTTCTGTAAGCTGTTGGAATTCCGTGCTTACATGACTTCTCCCCTCGCCTTCTTCTTTCATTAGTGCTCTTTTGGATGTGTTCACGAAGCGCTCTGTCTGTCCATTTGATTGTGGGTGATAGGGCGGACAGCGTGTATGTACAATTGCATTAATGTTACAGAAGTGCTTGAATGATTCTGCAGTGAATTGTTAGCCATTATCGGTCACTAAAATCTCTGGAACTATAAAGCAGCTAAACAGCCCATATAAATTGCTGATCATTTCACTGGCTGTGTAATTTGCCATGGCGTAGATTTACAGCTATTTTGTGAGTGCGCCCTCGTATGGGGCCGGCAAAATCTGCGTGCCGACTCTCCCAGGGACTATTAGGTTTTTCCCATTGTTGTGGTTCACACTTCTTTGGACATTTAGCTGTTTGCAGGCACGACGAACAATTGCGGCATCTGGTTTCTATATCTTCATCCTTTGTAGGCTAGTAAGCATAGCTTTGAGTCAACAATTTCATTTTATTGATGCCGAGATGGCCGCCTTGGAATTGTTTCAGAACCGTGTGGCATAATGTTTTTGGGACAACAATTCTGTCATCAAGCATAATACATGAATTGACCATCATAAGTGAGTCTCTCTGGCGAAAATATTGTAACATCTCTCCTTGAAAGCGACTATTCGGCCACTTGGCGAGAAGGTAACCTCTAACTTCTCGTAATGTCTTGTCATTTTCCGTGGCTTCTTTGATGGCCTTGGAAGTAACTAGCAAACCATTGACTGCGTCTTCCAATACTCGATGTAATTCTGTTTCTGTCTCTATTACTGCCACCAAGGTATCTTCTCCCTGTTTTACTTGTGAACCAATCAGTCTAAACATGGTATCAGGTTGTATAAAATCAGTAGTGGGCTGGTACTTAATTTTAAAGTCACAACCCAAGAGTGTGGTTCCCCACTGTTTCAGTCTGTTTGCTGTGTATAACAGGATACCTTTCTTTGACCCGAAAATTGCTAGCAATGGTTCATGGAAGTTTTTCACCGCAAAGATAATTGATAGAGCATGTTTCTCATTTTGACTATAGTTCCGTTCTGTCATTGTTAACGATCCGATAGTATGGGAGATTACTTTTTCAGACCCACTATGAAAAATGTGAGAGATTACTGCTCCAATACCATAATTTGAAGCATATGAAGCAACCACTGTTGGAAGAGAAGGATCATCATGCGTCAGTAAGAGATTGGAAGCTGGGAGTTGCTTAATTTTTTCGAATGATGCTTGACAGTTCGCCGACCAATCCCGTTTCGTATTCTTTTTTAGGCTGGCCCGCAGACGATGGAGATCAGGGAGGAAAGTACCATAATGGTTGACCGATCCCAAGAAAGGTCATAAGGTAGGAACGTCCCTAGGTACTTACTTACTTACTTACGCCTGTTACCCCTTGTGGAGGAGCATAGGCCACTCACCAGCATTCTCCATCCAGCTCTGTCCTGAGCCTTCCTTTCCAGTTCTTTCCAGTTGCTATTCATCCTTTTCATATCGGCTTCTATTTCTCGGCGTAGTGTGTTCTTTGGCCTTCCTCTTTTCCGCTTCCCTTCAGGATTCCAAGTTAGTCGTGATGCACATTGGTGATTTCCTCAATGTATGTCCGATCCACTTCCAACGTCTTTTCCTAATTTCCTCTTCAGCTGGAAGCTGGTTTGTCCTTTCCCATAAAACGCTGTTGCTGATAGTATCCGGCCAGTGGATGTTGAGTATTTTGCGTAGACAACTGTTTATAAATACTTGTACCTTCCTGATGATGGTCGTAGTAGTTCTCCACGTTTCAGCTCCATACAGTAGGACTGTCTTGACGTTCGTATTAAAGATTCTGACCTTGAAATTGGTTGACAGTTGTTTTAAGTTCCATATGTTCTTCAATTGTAGAAATGCTGCCCTTGCTTTGCCAATCCTCGCCTTTACATCTGCATCCGATCCTCCTTGTTTATCAACGATGCTCCCCAGGTACTTGAATGTTTCCACCTCTTCCAGAGTTTCGCCATCAAGTGTGATTGGGTTGGTGTTCTCTGTGTTGCATTTTAGAATCTTGCTTTTTCCTTTGTGAATGTGAAGGCCTATCGATGCGGAGGCTGCTGCTACATTTGCTGTCTTCATCTGCATTTGGTCGTGTGTATGAGAGAGGAGGGCTAGGTCATCTGCGAAGTCCAAATCATCTAATTGATTCTGAGAGGTCCATTGTATTCCGTATTTCCCTTCAGATGTCGAATTCTTCATAATCCAGTCAATCACTAGAAGGAAGAGGAATGGGGAGAGTAGACAGCCTTGTCTGACTCCGGTCCTTACTGGAAATGCATCTGTCAGCTGTCCTCCATGCACAACTTTGCACTGTAGTCCATCGTATGAGTTTTGGATAATGTTGACGATCTTCTGAGGAACTCCATAGTGTCGAAGAAGTTTCCATAATGTTCTCCTGTCCACGCTGTCAAACGCCTTCTCATAGTCAATAAAGTTGACGTATAGTGATGAGTTCCACTCAACTGATTGTTCGACGATGATCCGTAGTGTCGCAATCTGGTCTGTGCACGACCGATCCTTACGGAATCCAGCCTGATGATCCCTCAGTTCGGCGTCTACTGCGTCTTTCATCCGATTCAGCAGCACTCTGTTGAAAACTTTTCCTGGTACTGATAACAAACTGATACCTCTGTAGTTCTCACATTTGCTCAGATCTCCTTTCTTTGGTATCTTGATGAGATATCCTTCTTTCCAGTCCATTGGCACTTGTTCCTCTTCCCAAATCTTCTTGAATAGAAGGTGAAGCATATTTGCAGTTATTTCAATGTCTGACTTCAGTGCTTCAGCTGGTATATTGTCAGGTCCTGCCGCCTTCCCACTTTTGATTTGTCTGATGGCCATCTTGACTTCTTTGATCGTTGGTGGAGTGACATCTATAGGAAGGTCAGTGTTTGCTGCTTCGATGTTCGGTGGATTCAATGGGGCTGGTCTATTCAGCAGTTCCTCGAAGTATTCTGCCCATCTTTTCCTCTGTTCTTGAATCTCAGTGATTGTTTTTCCTTCTTTGTCTTTGACTGGTCTCTCTGGTTTGCTATATCTCCCTGCCAATTTCTTCGTTGTATCATATAGTTGTTTCATATTTCCTTCCCTTGCAGCTTTTTCCGCCGTCGTTGCTAGTTCTCCCATGTAGTTCTGCTTGTCGGCTTTAATGCTTTTCTTCACTTCCCTGTTTACTACTGCGTAGTCTGCTTGTGCTTTGACTTTCTCTGCTCGTGTCCGGCTGTTGTTAATTGCCAGTTTCTTGTTCTTCCTTTTTTGAATTTTGTCCAGGGTTCCCATAGAGATCCATTCCTTGTGATGATGCTTCTTAGGACCAAGAACCTCCTGACACGTTGAAGTTAGTGCTTCTTTGATCCCTTTCCAGTTGTCCTCCAAAGTAGTTTCTTGTTCATTCAGTAGATCCTGTAGAGCTTGGAACCTGTTGTTGAGAGTTATCTTGAATTCATGGAGCTTGTCAGTATCTCGAAGGAAGGCTGTATTAAACCTTTGTAGTGCTGTTTGTCCAGTTGTCCAGTCTTTCTTAAGCTTCAGTCTCATCTTGGCCACAACCAGGTGGTGATCTGAAGCTATGTCAGCTCCTCTCCGGGTTCTCACATCTTCCATTGATCTTCGGAATTTTTTGTTGATACAGATGTGATCTATCTGGTTCTCTGTGGTGTGGTCCGGTGAGATCCATGTAGCTTTGTGTATGCGTTTGTGTGGGAATATTGTGCCGCCTATGACCAATTTGTTGAAAGCACATAGGTTTGCAAGTCTCTCCCCATTTTCATTTCTTTCTCCTAGTCCATGTCGTCCGATTATATCTTCATATCCTGTGTTGTCCACTCCAACTTTAGCATTTAGATCTCCCATAAGGATGGTGAGGTCCTT